GACGATGATGACGACGATTATGTTGACCAGGACAACGAGAACAATGATGAGGATGACAATTTCTCCATGACCAGCCGTGATGAGGAAGATATCCAGGACAATGAGGTCGACGATGATGAGATAGAGAGACACTCCCTGTCGATCGACAGCATGCGCACCGCCTTGGATGTGGGCAATCACTCTGGCGCCTTGGTCGAGGTCGACAATGTCCTGTCCAACTCATTGAGGACAATCGAGAGCGTCTTGCTCAAGCGATGCAACCTAAAGATGAAGCCAGAGGGTACTGTTTGGACGAGACGTGGCAAATCAGTACCAATGCCTGCACAGTATCGATTCAGTCAAGCCAAGCCTACCTTTCATCAATGTCTCCAATTGCTTGTAGTCATGGTCACCAGGAGGGAGGATGGACTCACAGATCTCATTGAAGATGAAACTGAGAGAGTAAGACAATCGCCAGCAGCAGAGAGGCTCACCAAGTGAGTGATTGATTGAGTGCATTAACTAATACTATCATCAACAACAACAACCAAAGGCCAATGTAGTTAGACTCTGGGAGATGATATACAAGTTGGTCATCTTGCTACTCGATCACACCATCTATCAATGGAGAGTGTTGTGTGAGAGGTTTGGCAGATTGCTAATCAATATTTACAACATTGAACCATCCTCATATCTTCACATCTTCATACATCATTCTGGCGAATATATGGAGCTGTACGGCTGCTTAATGATGTTGTGTAACATCGCATCTGAAGGTAAGCCATGTGTTAGTACTATCACTATTCATTCAATGCTCTGCGACCATTGTGGACTAATTGTTAACCCAAACCTTACAGCCAAGCATGGTTCCAACAACACAGCCATTAAGGCATCCAACAAACAGAGACGACCTGGACAGATATGCAAGCAACAGGTGACCAGGGATATGATCATGACCAAGCTCATTGAGATCTATCGAAAGGATGACGTAGCACTTGCCACTTATGTGAGCCACTCGAGGAAGTTCTATGAGGACAACTACAACAAACACATCAAGGGCCATATCAACAACTACATGGCCGACGTTGCCTTCCGATCTACATTTGGCCTGGAGCCTGACGACTTGTCTCATCCACCATGCCCAACTGCCTTCAAGTTGAATCAGATGGTCACGGCAATGACCAAAGAAGAGGGCGACGATTATAAGAGCTGGTGGCCTGGGGAGGTTGTTGGCTATGACCCTGAGAATGTGACCTATGACATTCGATTCTGGTTTGTATTATAGTCCGACATCATGATGTCGAGAGAAACAACACATACACTCCAATCAATGATCACAGTGTCAAAGGTCAAAGGAGGACATCTCTATTTCAAACAGGAAATGACTATGTTATTGATAAAGGTATTTCCGAGGCGAACATCATTGAGCACATCATTCAAGAGTGTCAATCAATCAATAGTAGCCAAGTAAGAGATGGTCTTGTCTGTCTATTCCACGTACCTAAAGTCAAACACTACTATCGATCTACACTACACTTGAATACTGTCATTGGGAAGCAAAGACTGACGGCCAAGGTGATGGATGGCAAGTATGCCAACAAGAGCTATTCTGTGAACGATCTAAAGGGCATCTTCGCGCCTTGGGAGTGTGAATTCACAAAGTTGCCAACTGGTCGCTCTGCCGTGACTTGATAGACTGATGTTCCTACATTCACCTATGATGACCTACCAGAGATCAAAGCCAAAGGTATATACACCTGCTCGAAAGGAGTAACCAAACTCATATGATCAACAACTTACACCATGATATCCCCACAATAATAGTGAAGGCATCAATTCAAAAGCGACATGGAGAGTCATAATCCGTTGGAGTACAGGTTCAGTCGACGCCCACCTATGTTCAGGTCCTAAATCTGATCGCATCCATAGTCAAGAAGGAAGATGATGGCACGATTGCTCTCACAAGAGTAATCGAGGACAACAAAGTGAGAACAAGTTCACGCATCATCTTGGACAAGCGACGGATGAGCACGGCTGCCTTGAGCAGTCTGGCAATGAGGAATAGCGCGACATGGTTAAGTGCTCGCATGAGCATCATGGATCAATGAACATATCGACATCAACATTCATAATGGACAAAAACACAACTGTCCATCATCAACATCACAGTTACAACAACAACAATTTGTTAGTTGACGACACAATGACTATGATGAACATCAGATGTTTATTAAATTCAATTCATGGTTATTGGTCTTGTTATCTTATCAACTCAGGAGATATAGTAAAGAAAAAGCCATCCTTCTTTGGTTGTCCATTGTCCATGACGTCTTTGAGGTACGAGGCAGTGGTCACTTTCATGTATCCGAGTGAGGTCTGTCCGTCCAGATCAGGATCGACACACAGCTGGAACATTGGGTCAAGAGGATCGTTGGGACACACAATCATGATGAACACATCGTCCACAATCATGATTCCAGAGTCCTCCGTTGGAACAACCAAGTCAAAGTCCTGGATGCTTCCAATGAAGAGTTGGTTCTCCACAATACGATGAGTGTTGATGTAATATTGAGAGCCGATCAGCTTGGCATTGCTCTTGTTGTAGGTTGTCTCGATCGTATTGACACCTAGTAGGCCAACCGGGATAGCAAAGAATGATGAAGGTGATTGGATGGTAGTGGGCACTTTGGTTGTCATGGTGATTATGGTTGTGCCTGGTGTTGGATAGGTCGGGGAGAGGGAGGCAATCTCATAGGTGGTAATGGAAGTGATGTTTGTGATGATAACTGTGCCAGTTGCATTTGACGATGTTAATGTAGTCTGAACTACTGTCACTGAGTTCGGTCCAATTGTGGTGTTCAGTGTGGGAGGGGGGTCAACCCATCCAGCTGGAATTGGTATCGACACGTTGGAGTTGACTTGGGTAGGGGCGGCGACTGGGGAAGGGAAGAATAGGTAGATGCGAGAATACTGGTGTGCGACAAACAGGATATTCAACTCATCAAAATAGTTTGATGAGTTGAATGGAAGGTATGCCTTGACCGTCTCATTGTAATACACAATTTGGATCGATCCAACCTCCCATCGCTCGGTGGGTAGTTCGAACCTCAACTTTTGTTGGCAGCCACCTTCATCACAACCAACATTGTCAACAGTGATGTTGTAGAGCAAGGATGAACCATCCACAACGTTGTTCAAGATGATGCTGATATTCAAGTTCTGTTGGCCTCTGGTCTGATTGGAGAGGGTAAGGAAGTTGAAGTAGACTCCCTGATTGACAATGGGTGATCTGGTGACATTGGCGTTCTTGACATATAGTTGGAATCCCTCTGCCCACAAATCACTGATCCTTTTTCCGTTGCTGGTTCTCCAAGCCCTGGGGATGATGTTTCCAATAAGGTCAAGTTTGAAGTTGATTGGAACTGGTCTCAAGTCCACACTCTGTGACCATGAACCAAATGAAGAATGGGAGTTGAAGTCAGGCCCGAATGATCCTGGATCCCCACCCTTCACCAACACCTCACTATGGGTTGTGTTTGTTGTGAAGGATTTCTGGGTGTCTTCGTCAGAGGTGCTATCCTGGCTTCCAGAGAATGATGCTCCACCACCACCGTATGGTGTGGAGAACTGCATGGCAGCCTGGATTGAGGCACTGTGGGTGAGAGATACGGACTTCTTGAAGAACGATGTTGAGGAGTCGGCAAACACAAGGACCTCAAGGGAACCTCCCAATGTTGCGCTCAAGTAGTAGAAAGCACCATATTTACCAATTACTTTCTCCATTGCCTTGTCATCTTGTGCCGCTGATAACTCTTTAAGGAACTTGGTGCTGAAATGGAAGTTGTTTCGAGTAACGGATGAGGTTAAGCACTTCACCTTGGTCGAGTAAAACTGGCCCGACTTGGAACCCTGGATCTGGTTGGCTACGGCCACAGATTTGCTTTGACTGTAGGCAGCAGAGGCAGAGCCTCCCCATCCACCATACCCTCCATTGGCGCCAAAGCCAACACTCATAGATGACTCGTCGGACATCTCGGTCTGGTAGTCATAAGAGTTAGAGTAGGTGGAAGTGACAGAGTTGTAGGAACAACTTGGTGACAACTCGGCATTGTACTCTGGCGGGATCATGTAGAGTACTCCTCTATTGAAGTCTTGGATGATTGAGTAAGTGAGGTTGCTACAGTACCCTTGGTCAAATATGGGGGCTGGGAGTTCATCACCGGTTAGAAGTCCAACACCATGGGACATATGAATTAGGCCGGGTAAGGAGAATGGTTGTTGCTGGGTGATCAAGTAGGAGATGGTGTCACGGTCGGGGATCTGGACATTGAAAGGAGGAACTTGGTGGCTACACTTGTATCCAAGCTGATCATAACAGTCCTCCACACAATCCTCTGGAACCTCACTACAGACATTGTCTCCACAATATGCAAGAGGGGTGCCACCAGTCTCAACTTTGCAAAGGACTTCATAGTTATCAAACTGGATTGCGTCTTTGCATACTTTGGGTTAAAGTTAGTATCACTCAATCAATCAATCAATCAATCAAATATTAAATACTTACAATTGTTGGAAAAGAATGATTTGAGATCAATGACTTTGGAAGTTAACTTGTCTCCACCAGACAGTACTACTTTGAGAGATCCATAGGACTTGGATGGTGGTGTAATGAAGGAGATGTTCAAAGTGTTCAAATTGGTGGAGCGTAGGCGAGTAGTAACAGAATTCAACGAGTGGCTCTGGATGGCCATGGAGGTTACCACAGGCTTGCCGTTGAGCATTACATTGATACCAAGGAATTTCTGCTCAAAATCAATTTGATACTCTCCACTAATATCTACCGCAAAGTAACCAAATATGTTGCCATAACTAGTTTCGGTTGTGTATAAATTTGGAATATCTATGATGGTCGATTGATCGATATATTAGTATGAAATAAATATACTGTATCAATTTGATCTATACTTACCAAAGCTTTCCATTGGTAACGGGTAGGTAGGTAGAGGGCATGATTGATTGGCCGGAGATGAAGGAGGGCAGTTGGTGTACACTGACAACTTGGAACCGGAGAATTTACATTTGCAATCGGAGGGGCAAGAAAGACAAGTCTCAACATCAGACTCACAGACAGAGTCATTGTTGCAGGTCATTGAGGGTGAGTTACTCTTTTCCCAACTGGCAAAGTGGGTGCTTGGGTTGAAGACAGAGGGAGGCGAGGTGCACACAGCATCGTTGCCACATAGAGATGACATCTTGGAGCCCGACAGTTGACCGGATTGTGAAGTGTAGGCAACACTATCATCACAGGAGATAGAGGCGGATGAGATATTTGAGTACTTGAACACCGAGCTGGAGAAAAAAAGAACAATATCATTGTTGGAGTTACACTTAATTGAGGTAGAAGTCATCATTGCGGTGGACGATACAAGGTAGAGAGCACCTGATCGTAAAGCCTTGTTTCCAGTAAACATACAGTTGGAACAGGTAAGCTTGGAGGAGGTGGCATAGATGGAAGAACCAAACTCGGCAACATTGTTCAAGAATTGGACATTTTGGAGGTTTAGAGACGATGAGTTGGCAAATATGGCACCACCATTCATACCTGAACATCTGGTCATAATAATGTTCTTGAGAATAAGACTTGCAAAACTGACCTTGAAACCGAACGAAACTCCCTCACAATCAATAATTGCCATTTTGGACCTATTTTAATTAAAGTATACAAATTTGTTAATCTTTATAAATAAAAATAATATTAATAATATATATAACTACTTACTGGATCTCAATTGGAGAGTTGATTATCAAATTTCTATTTATTCTTCCAGTGTAAACTCCTTCAGCCAATTTGATGACATCATTGTCTTGAGCTTGAACCAGAGCATCTTGAATGGAGTGGCATGGTTGATCATTGGCTCCACACTTATCAATACTGTTCAATTTGGAGGCACTATTAACATGTAATATTACCCTTCCACTGGTAAATTTTAGTCCTGCAAGGATAAAAAATAAAATAAATAGTTTAATATATAACTTAGTCATATCTCTTATTGTTTATAAGTGTTATTATTATTATTATTACTATCAATGATAAAAAGATCGTATCCTCAATATAAATTTGAAAAAACAATAATAAAATATTTCCCTCATCTTCTCCTGTTAGTTAAAATATCTTTAAAACTAACCAGATTGTCACGTGATCATATTTGCACCATCCAAAAATCCACGTGATCTTTTTAGGACCCAATTATCTTATTGGTGCAAAATAATATTATTGTTTTTACGGTCAAGTGAGGGAAGTTATTCTTGTAGGGTTTATGATATAGGAAAGTCATAGCGCTCTCTTGATATATCCAGATAGCGGTGTAGTCAATACTAATTGAAAAGATATATGACAAAGGAAGAATAGATAGTTTTTATAATTATTCAATCAATCAAATATATATATAAAGATAATTATGAATAGGAATTATTTATTATTAATAATATGTTTGATATTACTCCATAATGAAATTAATGGAGAATATGTTTATAATCGACAAATACCGGATACAATATATGTGAACCCTAGTTCTCAATGTAGTGGTAGTTGTGGATCATATTATTCTCAATACTCTAACCTTGCCAATGCATTGTCTGACGCCCGACAATCGGGTTCTCAAATGGCAACAATTCTGCTCTCTGGTGGCCAATACAAAGGTTCAAAGAACAAGAATCTAAAAATTGATTTTGATATCCAAATAAGGTAAGAAAATTTTATTATATCAATGAATTGTACAATCATCTAATGACAATTATTCTAATATATATTATTTTTCAATATTCCAGTGTTCTAGATACTACTCTTCCAGTTATTAATTGTGAAGGCGTTGGCCAGGCCTTTAACATTGAACGTGGCGCCACTGTCACCTTTAATGGATTCTCAATTGTCAATTGTTCCGCCTCTTTAGGAGCCGCCATGTCCATATCCAGCTCCACTGTGTTTATGGAGGATTTCAGTATCTCCTCTTCCAAGAGTGATATGGGTGCCATTTTTGCCAACAACTCCATGTTATACATCTCGTCCTCATCGTTCCAAAACAACACTGCCCTAGATGATGGAGGAGCTCTTTTCCTTTCCTCATCTTCAGGAGAGATCAAGAAGTCTCTGTTTGTTGGAAACAAACGAGTATTTGCCAAAACTACAGTACCAAGCAACATTTTTGCCTTTGACCGCTCCATAGTACTTGTTGACTTTGCAAAGATGAACAACTTTACCTTCTCCTCAACATGCTCCAACTCCTCAATCTCCAACCAACTCGGCCAATCCTTTTGTGACTCTGTTGTTTCTTCCTCAATCCCCTCAGCCATTGGCAATGCTTCTTGCATAAAAGATGGTGTTTGCAACCCCTTGAATGAGAACTTCTTCTCATGTCCGTCCGACTGCCCCTCGACCTCGTTCTCTGGCTTTCTACAAACAGACTATCTCTGCTTGTACAACCGCTCCAACTCCAATTGGTACAATTGCAGCCTGTTCCAAAATGCTCCTCAGTCCCTTCCAACCTTCCATGTAATGGACAATGTTGACGGCCCTCTCTTGGGCAATCTGACTGGATACTTCAACATGCCATTTGATGGACCAATCACCTTATTGATCAACATATCCAACCTCAACCTCAACGTCTCCATCAACAGACGTCAGTGTATCACCTATCAGTTCGACCCCACCATTAGGTACAAACAACTTGAGTGCCGCCAATATCTCGTGCGTGACCAAATCAATCAGCTTGTGATTGACTACTCGTCCAACTCAAAGTTCACCAACCCCAGGAAGGTCTCGATAGTTTACAAGTTGGGTGATAGAAATGACTTCAAACCCCTCGACATCATCAAGTTCTCCCGCAATGTCTGTGGAGACAACATATTTGACAAAGAAGAAGATTGTGAAGTTGATAAAGTATCCGGATTCGGCCATCGGGACCACCTGTTTATGAACAGCACCTCAAAGTGTGGTGATGGTATCTGTAATGAGGAGAACCCGAACCAATGCCTTGTGGATTGCAGTCGATACATCACTGAACGTTGCCCCGCCCTTAACATTGAGAAGGGTAGATTGGTGCCATTCTCTGTCCGCTCAGACACTCTTGGAAAAATGTTATCCAACCGAATGATCTGGGGACTTCCAGGTTATCAACATATGTCTTTTGCGATTAATATTGTGAATGGTGTCCAGGCTGGTTACCCAATCCTCCAGCTCTCCTTCTGCAATGACAAGGAGTCTAGTTACATCGAGGACGTCTTCCGCAATGCAGTGTACCAAGTTCCAAAGGAAATTTCTGCTGTTCCCCAGCCCCGATGCACCTTCTCCGTCACCAACAAGATCTGGAGCAGTTCCAGTGAAATGTCTTCTGAAATGTCAAAGAGCACGGCATACAGCATAGGTGCCAATGCTAATGGAAACTTTGATTCAGTTGGTGTCCAAGCCTCGGTGGCCTTCTCCCGGGAACAATCTACTTCCACTGCTTCCAAGTTGAGTTTCCAGAAGTCTGGTAGTTTGATTGATACTAGTGTCATTTGTTCATCCTCCAGTGTCCAACTGACCGAGTTTGTCTTCCACCCTCACTTCCTTGAGGACTTAGCAAATGCAGAGTCAGACCAAGACTTTGATCTACTACTTATCAAGTATGGAACCCACATCTATCACACTGCTATCCTCGGTGGCCAGTTAAAGCAAATAACCTTCACCTCTAAGTCAACTCATTCTGCGGATGAGAAGTCAGAGACAACTCAACAAACATCAATGGCTTTCAGCACTGCTGTGACCTCCCCTGTTTTGAATGTCCACGGGGACTACTCTTCCAACACCAACTCAGCCACAAGCTCAGACTCCATGAACTCCTTTGCCAAGTCTAGTTCCAGATCCCAGATCATATCAAAGGGTGGCGCTCCGGGAAGTTTCGGACCTTCAGCCTCGAGCGCCCCAACTACATTTGGTGAGTGGGCATCATCGGTAGATATGTTGCCGGTTCCTGTCAACTACACTCTCATACCAATCAGAGGTATCCTAAATCCTTTGTGGAGAACAAGGAACGAGGCCAATCTCACAGAGATGTGGACATCAGCTGAGACTAGAATGTATAAGTACGTCCAGGACAACCCAGAGTCATTGTCCACAGGCTATTCAGATAATGTTTATAATGCCACATTCTTCTGGGTTCTGGGTATCCCTCTCAGCCCTGTCACGATCCAGTCCGTGTACAACAGTACAATCAGGTCAAGAGTTAACACTGCGGCAATCCTGGGTTTTGATTACAACTCTTTGATTGACAAAATCGACTTTATTGATGGCACTCTCGTCCAGACTGTGTTCCAGGCAAACCTTGACCCAAGAGTATTCAACATCACCTTTTTGCTCCAGGACCGATCCAAGTTCAACATGATCACAAGAAGGAATCAGATCAGCAATGCTCAGGGAAACGTCTTTGAAATCAAGAACAAGATATTCCTCAAGTCACAGACTACTATCAAGTTGCCCGGCAACTACATCTGGGAGAACAACTCCATCTCCACCAACCCAATAGACATCCCAATCTTTGATAGCTATGATTTTGACAAGGAGGGCAACCTAGTTGCCGAGGACAATACCAAAGGAAGAATGGCCTATCTCTATGTACCCCCGATGGCAATGGACTACAAATACCTGGCGATTAACATTCACATTGGAGGTTATGTCCGGGTGGTCTATATTAACAACATTAATGTTCCACAGGGCAAATGGAGATTGTTTGAAGTTCCTTCAAGTGTTGCGGCAATGTAAGTTAGTTTGATCACTTATGTGACCATAATCAATATTCTAACCCAAATATATATTTCAACAACAGGATACTCGTGGCTACTGCAATAGACTACTCGCCAAACTATGATTGGATAGCGGGCAGAGACGGCGCTGTTAATTGGTATACTTCTGGATTCTCAGAGCCAGGTGTTCCAGAGTATCCTGGCCATTGGTTCATGCATAACGACGACAGCAAGAAACATGTCACTGATCTTGGTGTTCCAGATGGCTGGCCATACATGGCAGTCACCACCAAATACATACATGGTGATGATGATCGTCGTTACAACGAGTTGGGCAATCCCTCGTGGGACGTAGATGTTTCTAAGATCAAGATCTATGGCACCAACGCTATCTTCCAGCCGATCCCCTATAACTCGTACTTCTTCTTGGGCAATGGTCAGTCTCAGTACATTGTCCTCCGCATTGGTGATTCAAAGCAACTCTTCACAGGCAGTGGCATGAATGATCATCCGCTGGATCAATTCAGTGTGGGTCGTCTATCAACTGTTGACACCATCAGACATATCAACAGAATTGATAATGATGATTGGTGGAAGGCGGTGGTCAACCAACTCCCATCCCCATCATTTATCCCGCCAAACATGGATGATATTGTGAGCAGTCTACCTGATGCTGATGACTATTAATCAATAAATTGACATCGATAGATAAATAACTTTATTATTGCTGTCGATGGGACAGACTTGAAAGGATGAAGTAAATACATGTATGTGTTGTGTCTGGTCAATGATGTTTATTGATCAATAATCCATTCTATCAATTACAGGCTAATCCTCACTTATATCAGTGAGTGAAGGTGACCTGGAAATGAGTGAGGATGTGATGGGCGAAACGGAGCTGGTGGTCGACATGAACGATGTGGATGAGTGTGCACTGGTCGTGTTGTTGATCGATATCGATGATGACGACAGCGGAATGAATCCTTTCTCTCGCAAAGCACTCTTGATCAGATGTTGCAGGAGAGTGGTGGCCTTTTGATGGCGCTCCAGGGACGAGCCGCCAACGCCGCCGCCAGTGGTGGGCTGATCGTTGGACAACAGGATGGTGGACATCACCACCGACAAGCTCTTGACGTTCATCTTGTTGGTGGCAGCACACTGCGCCACGTCCGCGAGCAGGCCCACAATCCACATGAGCAGCGAGTGGTATGGCTCGGCAATGGCCTCCTTGATAATGTCGGCCGCCTTGCTCTCGTCACTGCTGGCCATCGTCAGTTGCTCGTCGTCGAGCGTGGAGCACACCTTGCACGGCAGCTTCATGTACCAATGCTTGATGTACGATGCGATGGCATGCGCGTCGATGCAGCCAGTGTCCAGCTCGCGCGAGCTGTGACGTCGCAGCGCCGACGTGGGCGGCAGGGGTGCCGGTGTGGTCGGTGGCGCCATCAACTCTTTCTTGGCCAGCGCCAATGTGATTGTATTCATGGTGGACTCGGGCGTTGCGTGGCCGCGGAACAATCCCTCCTGATTGAAGCCATCGATCAGCTTCAGCTTCTGTTTGAGCTGCACGAGGAAGGCGGGTACAGTCAGGCTGGTGCTGGCGTCCAGACACTGCTCCAGCAGCATCGGGTTCATCGCAAACAGATTGTTGGTGCGCTTGAATATCAACTTGTTCATGGGGTCGATTGGGTAGCTGGACAACAGACGTGACGGGTCCAACAATATAGCCGAGCCATACTCAATGCCCTCCTTACCCTCCTCTGACGTGTCCAAGTATATTCCATACTCATTCAAGTTGTCCTCTATATGGTATGCATGTGTTAACTTGATGTGCGGTGTGATCTCCTTTGTAGGTCACGGGTGAGGACTTACGTAGTTTGATGTTGGGGTTCGATCGGATCATCCTGGAGAAGCTCGAGACAATGTCAGAGATTGAGCATGTGGCCTCCACTTCGATGACGCAGGACGCGCTGATCGGCTCAGCAGGCGCCTCAACCGCCAGGTAGAAGGGAGCGCGACACACCTCACTGCCGCCTCGGATATTTGGACGGGAGAACAACGCGCCACTCGTCAAACTGTTGGCACCGCCATTCTTAAATTGCAGACGCACATTGTTCCAGAATTGGAAGGACTCGAGTGTGCGCTCCTCGGGCAGGGCGTAATCATAGCGATGCTGGATGGTCGGGTTTGGATGCTTTATACAGAGGTAGAATCGGTAGTCACGGAACTCAGCTGTCTCTGTGTTGTTGTTGCCATTGTTGTTGCCATTGAGGAGGAGACTGTGATCTGATGTAAGTGTGTTGTTGTTGTTGTTGGAAATGGTTGTGGATGTGGTTGTAGTTGTGGACGATGATGATGATGACGAGGTGTTGTTATGTACAGGGGGTGGCGCCGAGGAGGACGTCAGAGTGTTCTTGCGCTTGATTGTGTCGATGGCATGTTCAGTAGAGTTGATAGAGTTGGTGTTTGAGCGGGAGAATGAGAGTGGCGGACAGTCCGACATGGATCGCTGTGACCTGCTGCTGTTGAGGTTGGACGAAGTCGACGACGTCGTCGACGATGAAGGCGCAGTGGATGTGATGATTGTTGGAATGGGCGTCTTGATCGTGCCCCCTGCGATGGTTGGCGAACGACTTGGTCGCGTGGTCGTCAGGCTGGAGTTGGCCGTAGCGATCAACTTTTGAGCGATCTGTGCCATGGTGTCCGAGGGCGTCAGACGCATCACGATCTCCCTATTCAAGAACATGATGCGCACCTTTTGGTATTGTCGACTGAATCGCAGCTCGTCGTTGTGATGCACGGTGTAGTCGCCAATGGTCTTGGCGCGGTCTGACAGCCACAGACCGTCCTTTGTGGTCAGGTTGTAGTCGTCGAGCATCTCACGGTCGATGTGAGGGTAGCGCGCGTAAATCTTGTGGAGCAACTCCTTGATCGAGGTGTTCTCGTCAACATCGAATGACTCGATACGCATGTCCGATGTTTTGGCCACTGTGCCAATGTTGCGTGGTGTTGTCAGTGTGGACAAGGACGGTGAGTTGCCGCCACCGCCTCCGCCACTGCCGCCACCCGGTGTACCCACGCGTGGCGACGAGGGAATAGAGGTGCGTGGCGATATTCCAATGATCTGGAATAATGATCTTCTATGCTCCAGCACTGGGGCGACGCGTGGTGACGACGATACTGAGCTGGCGTTGGAGTTTGAAGTCGATGCCGACAGTTGAGTGAGGTTGAGCTTTGGTATCAGCATGGCCGATGTGTTGACGCGGCCCAGACTTGGCGACGAGTTGCCGCTGCCACTGGCGCTGCCATTACTGATGTTGCTGCTGCTGAGGTTGTTGATACTGATGGGTGGTACAGCGATGGGTGGGCGCTGTACAGTGATTGTTGGCGAGGGAACCTTGTCAGCAGAGGTGCGTAATGAAATGGACGATGAAGACAAGTTTGATCGCGGGGTGGATGTGGTTGACGTCCTCTCGGGCTCGTCCAAAGTCGATGTGGACAAGCCCATAGTATATATCTCTGGCAAATGAATCTGAATGGTCCTTGAAGGCTTAAGTATCTGTCCGACCGATGTCAACAAGTGTGACATATTGCCTCTTGTATCTCTTTTGAATTCTATCTCTTGCTGTTGTGGGGGGTGGAACCAATCCAGGTGTCAGTTATTGGGTCAACAACACATCCAACTATTTCCCAACTTACCATTTCCTTTAGCTTGTACTTGGAGAAGGGCGTACCGCGCTTGCACCATTTGGACTTGTTTGGAATGTAGATGTTGTAGTTGTTGGCATTGTCGATGGAGCCAGGCGGCAGCTTCTCAACGATTAGTTGGACAGCCTCTTCAACTGACTCGACCTGATCAAACAATATCTTCTTTGTTGTCGATTGCTCTGGTACTCTGACCGAGAGTATTATTCTAGTTTTCTCCATCGTCGTCGTCGATGATGTTGCCGAGCTGGCATGATGATTGCCACTATTGTGAACTGTCATTTATATATATATGTATGTTGTTGTGGTTCTTGGACCAACCCTGTATATTATATTAATTGATTGATTGATTGAATGATTGATTGATTGAATGATTGATTGATTGGAAATGACACCTATATATATATATGATTGATTATTTGTTTGTTAGATTGATTGATCATGTAACAATGATTGATGGTGATGAATGAAGATGGCGCGGTAACCATCCATATGGATTGATGTTTGATGATGATGATGTTGTTGACCACGCTCACCTCCACAACCCACAGTTCCATCTTCCCGTCGCGGCATAACCCATCACAACACAGACAGACACAACAACAACAACAGTACAACAAACAAACACAGAGAGAGCAAAGGTCAAGTCAGCTGACTTGTGTGTGTGTGAGGGGTATGAGTGTTTTGGACCTCGCGGTGATCATGATCATGCGCCAGGACTCTTCTTGAAATGGTGAGTGGGTGGACCTGTTTGTGGTGGTGGTGTGTATGCATGACCCAACACCTGTTGGGTGAATGGCTTGCTTTGTGTTTGATCTGAGTTTGGATCGAGTCAAACGTGTGTATGTTTGATTATTTGTGAAGATTGTGATGTATGAATGAGTGAAAGTCGAGTCTACATTGCACCACTAGCCCATCCATCCAATCAAAATCATCATTGTATATTTGTTTGAATGAATGATGGTGAATTGGAGAGTATGTATCACACAAAGATTGATTGATTGATTGAATGATTGTGGGCCACCAATAATGAATGATTGAATGAAAGGATGGGATTCTCCACTTTGATATTTTTGAAGATGTCATCACAACATCTAAATATAGTCTAGGTGAATGATCAGGTCGGGTCATTACCTTTTTTTTTGATTGATTGATTACTGTATTTTATCTGTTTGTAGTTTATGTGTATGTATGTATATTTTAGTTGTTTGAACTCAATGTGGAATAGTAGTATGGACAGACAGAAAGTCAGTCCACCAATTTGAATGTTGTGTTGTGGGGCACACAGGATACCTACACAAAGAAAGAAGAAGAARGGCGCAAGCAAGCCTACAAAATATGGCGCTTTGGGTCAACAAACACCTGATCAAACAAAATACTATTTGGTGAAAATGGCCTGTCCAAGACCCAACAACTAAAAAAAAAATCTGTGTTGCCATCATACGAACATGATACATAATCTCTCAATGATAAATAAAATCAAATCAAAATTCGAACCCTGATCACAGCAATCCATCACCATTGCCAAAGGACCGCATAGTATGTGTGGGTGTGGGGGCAGGGCTCGATTGAATCACACCACACCACAATAAACAAATCTGACTGATGGATCGAAATTCGTGTGTGGGTCGAGTGGGTTGGTGATGGGTATTGGACGCGAGGATACATGTGCCACACACATYCCCGGGATGTGTCCGATCAGGGACCGGCTTGTAGACCGTCTATTATATATGAGATCTTGGTTGTCTCGTCGAATCTGGAAATTGCTAATGGGGTCGATCGATCAGTACGGTCAATCCCCTGGGAACATTGATCAACTAATCAAGATTGAGTGAGTCGTGAGTTGAATGAATGAATATGAATGGACATCAATCCATGTATGTGTAATGATAATGCAAGTCATTTGCCATGATTATGACAATGACGGTCATTGCCTTCTCTCCTTTGGCCTCTAGAGTCTTCGCTTCTCCTTCTTTGTGGTCTTCTTCTTCTCTTCATCACGCTTCTGCTTGGCCAATGCCTCCTTGTCTCTCTCGACCTTCTTGGCATGGTCATACTTGGCCTTCTCACGCTTGGCCTTGTCCTCTTCGACCAATCTCTTTGTATTGTTATTCTCAGACAATGATTGTTTGATCCTCTGCTCCTCCTCTTTCTTCTTTCCAACATGATCCGACAACAGAATATCACCATTCTCGTCACTATAGTGTCAATGTTAGTCGTCCATCTCATTCATTCATTCAATCATTTATACTTACACATCTTCCTCTTCATATGCGTATTTCGATAATAAATAGTCTCTGTTCTTCTTCTCATCTCTTGACATTGAGTAGTATGGGCTAAGTGATTGAAGTTGATGAATGTTAGCCAATCAATTAATCAATCAAGGGATCAAGATTACTGTACTTACTTTACATATTCCTCTTGCAGCTCCTCCTCTGTCACACTCTTTATCTTCAAGTCAGTCTGCAGTCTAATGGCATCTCTCAACTTCTGTTCTGTCTCTTGCTTCTCCTTCTCTGCACCATTATATTTGTTCATCAGGTCATCCAAGAACTCATCTGTATCTTTGGTCTATAATACAAGAAGTTAGTATCGATCGTACTTGACAGAATACATTGATATGATATATATACATGTACATACAGTGAGTGAGACCAAGAACTCCTTCAAATATTCCCTCTTCTCAGACTCGCTGTTGGAGTCGTCTGTGACCACGCCATATATATAATCGACAATTGTTTCAGAGTCATCAAAGCACTCAAGTGTCTTGATTGACTCGACTATATAATTCTTCAAGTCATCCATATCTCTATCTCTATCTCTATCTCTTTGCTCGAGTGAATGTCAGGTGATTCGTGTGAATTCAAATGTTGACAAGATGGAGTGTTTCGGGCGAGTTTTGGTTGTGATGAGAAATTTGGAAAAGACTGGAAATGGCAATGTTGGTTGATTGATTGATTGATCGATGGAGTGATGAATGGATAATGGTACTATACACTTGGTAGGAGGGTTTGTTTATTTACATACTGACTGATCTCTACTAAAAGAGTCAATATCTATATGGCACATTATAATAATATTGTTGGTTGGTAGGTGGATATTCTTTGCTGCTTGCTGCTTACTGCTTACTGCTTACTTGATAGGGTTTGACTGATTGGAATGGTAATTGTTGTTGTTGTTGTCTCGCCCACTCATTCACTCTGTTGCTCACAAAGAGAGAGTTGGCGGGGTAGGAGTGGAAGGGGAGGAAAATGAAGATTGTTGGAGGGGAGGAAAGTGGAGATGCTAATTATCAATCAAAGATATAACAGGTGTTGATGTAATTCTTGTCACCTCTTGGATCTTTGGGTGGCGCATCATCTAGGAACTCCCAATGTAGGGATGGTACACGAGATTGATGATTGGTGGTCTTCCATCCATCGCCACATAGAAGAGCTTTGAACTTCTTCATGCTCCTCGTGTCGATGGGATCGCGTTGAAGTACCACAAAAGATGGATATTGTTGTCGCCTCTTGTTGGAGGCCATTGCCGACCTTGTCTCTATTTGTAGAGATTCAAAAAAGTTAATGTCCTTGTTACTATTGGCACGTGCTAATGGAGGAGAACACATAGGGGATGATGTGGATGAAGTCGACGATGATGATGTGGAGAATGCCATTGTAGTAGATGTAGTGAAAGGTGAATGTTGTTGTGAGTTTGAGTTTGAGTTTGATGTTGAGATTGAGGTACATCCTTCCTCTTCAGGAGTTTGATTGGAGAGCTGTCCATAAGCTTCCTCGTTTCCAGCATGCTCGTTGTCTTCAGGTTGTTCTCGCTCAACAACAAATGAAGGTGGTGATGATTGTTCAGTTTGTACATTGTTCTGGTGTGTGTGGCCATCCCAAGTGTCTTTGAGTGGAGTAACAGTGGCAGTAATAGTAGTAGTAGCAGTGGCAGTAATAGTATTAATGGCAGTAGTAGAGGAAGTAGTATTGGTATTTGGATTGGTATTGATAGTGGATGGTTGTTGATCTGGAGAATTGCAATCAGGTGTACTATTATCAGATGTTGGTGAAGATTGACTGTTTGTCAATGATCCATGTTGTTGATGTTGTTGGGTATGAGTTTGATCCATGTTTGGTCTATCAGGTTTGGACAATGATTTCCATCTATGGTCAACCAACTCAACTGTTGTGCTGTGACCTATACTACTACTAATACAGGTACTATCTTTGATGCTACAGGACGACATGACGGATCCAGTCAATCAATTATTGATGTTTCTTCTTCTTCTTCCAATCTTTTCTCAGATGACAAGTAGTACTACTGCAACGCACTCAAGGTCAAAGTTGAGTTGAAAGTTAGAATGAATGAATGAATGAATGAATGTAGAAGTCGTAGTATTGGATTGGATTGGAATGGATTGGATTGAGTTGGATGGATTGGTTTGAAATGTTGGATGGATGGATGGATGGGGAAGGGGATGGCAGTCAGCTGCTGAATTAATGGATGGTTGATATTATGCGCAGTCAGTCAGTCAGTCAGTCTGGTGTTGCAGTGAGGTGAGGTGAGGTGGACGGGTACCCGTACTGGACGTCACTATCTCTCTCTTTCTATTTACACATCTAAACGTGCAGTCGGTGGTTGATTAGCTTGTTCAGAGTAAACACATCCATGTAATATTAATTGTTTGTTTGTTGTTGTTTATGTGTGTGTGTACATCTGGGACCTTTGAGGATTGTGGTGGATGAGTGAGTGAGTGAGTGAGTGAGTGGTGGATGAGAGAGAGATGAAGGAGTGTTGTGTACATCCATAAATGGTCATCTTGTCACACACACCCAAAATAGCTGAGGTTGTTGAATGAATGAATGAATGATTGAGTTGAACGAGTTTGAATAGAGTTAAGTGACCTGACACACACAGCCTAATACCTACCTTTGAAATGAAGTAAACTCAAAGTTGAGCTCAATGAATGTTGATGTTGTTGATGTTAATGTTATGGTATATCTATGAAGTAGTATTATCTTGATCAATAGTTGGGACTAAACAAAAACAGGTACTAATACTAAGGTAGGAATAGAATTGAAGTATTCCTACACACAACCGATGGAACCTGGTTTGTCTGTTCAGCGATTCAAGATACGACGAAGGTCACACAACACCACCACCTTGTTCCCCATATTTATCATCAGATGATTCCATCCCAAGCTCATCTGAACCAGTTTTGATCAACCCCAAAGTGCGTGATCTAACCAGGAGCAGACACGCCTAAGCGTGCCCTCTTCCCACAATCACACTCGATTGATTGGGTGTGGCCCTTCAATTGACAAACATTGGTATTAGGTTGGTGCCTTTATGATTGATTGACAGTTCATCGATCAGCTTCCAATACTGTTGTTGTTGTCGTCTTTGGACTCGAGAGATTGTGAAAGCCATTCTGATACACGGTTGGCTACCAATGTTGAATGAGTGAGGACAAAGGCATGTGGTACACCCGGTGCAGCGTACTCGATGTTGCCCGCGGGATAGTCTGCCACGAGGTCGTCGTGGAATCGATGTGGCGTGTATGGATCGGTGAGACCATAGATGAACAATAGGTCGTCCATACGAGTATTAAACACTTTCTTGCATTCATCGTCCAAATGTCTGATGTCCAGCGTCTCTGAGTGGGCCATGAAAAGGATGTTTAAGGCAGTCCAATAGTTGAGCTTATACTGTAGTGCCACTCGCATGTCATCCGTTGGCAGTATAGTGGACAGTACGCCATTAAGTACGAACGATGGCACGTAATGTAGGAATGAGGCCACGCCCCATCTCCAACGATTCTGTATGGCCACCTTGATGAATGGTGACAATCCATCGTAGAGATCTCTGAATGTTGGGAACAAGTTGATCTTCTTTACAAAGTTGAATTGGTCCGAGTAGCGACTGACCAGTTTGATCGAGACGTACGAGCCGACCGAGTGACCGATCAGCACAAACTTGACGCCATCTTTGATCGACCCATATCTCTTGTCGCGAAGATGTTCCAGAAAGATTGCCTTATGCTCAATCTGTTCCTCTACAGTGAATTGTTCTTGTATCTGTCCACAATGTCCAAGATGTGATACTGCGTTGATGATGATGATTATGATGTAGTGTAAGTCACTCAATCAATCATGTTTGATCACTCATTCAACTCATTCATTCATACTCACCTCCAATTATATCATATTGACCGTTCAGGTTTGTGTATAGGGTCTTGATAAACTCGATGTAGAACTCGATTAGACCTGGATTGCCTGGCACTACAATGATCTTTATAGGGTTGGTTGACGATGACTTGGTCGAGAGCATGTCACATTCTGTGTGCCCTCTGATTCCCCTATGTAAGCTAATCCTTTCTGATACTAACTCTACCATTTATTATATTTGTATATATGTATATGTATAACATTAATTAACAAACAACAATGCTTCATCGACAATTCTCCAAATATCCATCCAAAGATTCGTTATTGAAAATCAAATGAAATTTCAATCACACGATTGATTACCAAATTGGGATCAATTGACATTCGTCATAATGATTGTTGTCGTTTGGAACTATTCCATTCATTTGCAATCCAATCCAATCCAATCCAATATTCCAATCCTGGAAACTAAAACATGTATCTCCGACTCACTCTAGGGACGACTCGCTCTGTGACTTGAAGAAACTCCATCTTTGTTCCAAATGTCTACCAAGTCGATCAGCATCGTAGTCGTCTGGGTTGTTTGGCGGGAACTTTGACAGAGTGTGCTTGATCACTGGATGGAATGTCCTGATACTATCATCGTATGTTTTAACTTCGCATTGTCCAAGTAAAGTTGTGATGGCAACTGACAATATCTTGGAGTCTTTCAATTCATCTCGTCTAATATTGATTGATTGACACTCATTCTTCTTCTTCTTCTTCTTCTTAACATCATTACCATCATCATCATTATCATCAAAATCATCATTGTTTAGAGAGATAATTAATGATTGATCGATGCCCTTGGATAGTATGGACAATGACAGATTGTTGAACGATAGAGTTTGAAGTGTTCCATGGAAGCGTTGTATGATTTTGCCAATGACCTTGACGAGATATTTGCGGTTGTCAAGTCCATCTTGAAAGATGAATTTGATTGATGGCGCATTGATTGTTATCTTGTTGTCTTTATCCAGGAGGTCGTCCAAGAACTGTTTCTGAGAGAATCCGCCACGAATCACCAATGTGAACTCCTTGAGCATGGTGAAGTGACCGAATAGTTCATTGAATTGATCAAAATAGTGATCGGCTTCAAAATCATGTATGATGATGATCAGAGATTCGAGTGATGTCATCGTCTCATTGAGCACTCGCATCCTCTCTTCAATGGGAGGATGTTCAAACATTAACACCTCATCATTGTCATTGGATGATGATGTATCGTCGTAATGTTTGTGAAGCTGATGTTCTTTGATATGAGCGCGTCGCCAGTAGACATTGTTACCTCGCTCGATGTAAGGATGTGGCAGATGACCTTTATAATGTAGAGTTGGATCCACTTGTGCAGGGTCCTGATATGAACCGCATTGATTGTAGTCTTCGACATGAGGAATACAAAACTCCAATTCTGTTGTTAATGTTCGTACATGCTTCAAGACGCAATGTCGTCGAGCTATATGCTCGCACCAATCTCTGCATTTGGTACGTCGCATAAGGTTCCATGGCACTGTCACCAAGTAGGCATGATCAAACAACAGTGACACCACTCTAAAGAATCGCCAACATACCAGATCGCACTGTATCCACTCTTCAATATTATCAATTCCTCTATCCTTAATCAGAAATCTTAGTATGTTGTCTTGAATATGATGTGGAAGTGTTGGCAATGTTGTTGTTTGGGTCAAGTACACATTATCTTTATCTCTATCTTTATCCATTGTTTTCGTTGTAGATATTTTTGACAAAGTGATGGTGATGGTCCAAAATGGGGGTCATGTGATTGATCAATCATGCCTATCACCACACGACCATTGGCCACCCAATCAATCATTTGGGCCATGAACTGGACACTCTCTTTGAGACATGAAGAACTTCTTTCTTTCCTTCAGGTGATACTCTAGATCAGGATCTCGGCTTAATGTGGGAGCTTGAGTCATCTGTCTATATACAGGGCGGTGACCACGACTACGACCACGACCATGATCTAGTGGAGTAGCAGGTGGCGTCCTATGGCCAATGATCATCACACTTGATGATGTTATGTCCTTTGACATAAATAAGTTATCCACTGAACTTGCTACACTACTTGGTCCAAGTCCTTTTGTTGTAAACGACCAACCTGATTGGCCACCAGTCATCAAAAAAACCCTTCATGTCCTACCACTCTAAAGAATCGCCAACATACAAGATCGCATTGTATCCATTCCTCAAAGTTATCAATTCCTTTATCTTTGATCAACAATCTTAGAATGAGATCTTGAATGTGATGTGGAAGTGTTGGTAGTAGTGTAGTATCTTTATCTTCCATTTGTTTGTGTATATGATATGATTGATTGATTGATTGATTGAATGAATGAATGAACGATCGAATTGAATTTTGTGATATTTGGAATGATTCCAGCCTCAACCCCAACCCCAGGGTCTTCTTCTGTGTCATGTCATGTATGATGTTTATTGAGTAGTTATAAAGTAGTAATAGTTGTAGTTGTTGTTTGGTTTAAGTTGCTACCACCTGTTGCAACATCTGCTGATTGTCTGTTCAAAGTCGAGTCGCGAGCCGAGTCGCATCGCCATCGCCATCGTCATCGTCATCGCCATAGCATTAGCATTTAAAAGTCTGATTCATCGCCATTCTCTGAACCCTCCTCCACCTGTCTCTCCTTCTCCTCCTTGATGGTCTTGGCCACTTCGGCCAACTTCTCAGTCTCGGCCTTGCTAATGTCTGGATGGAAGCGCATGGCCTTGAGCGAGTCGTTGTGGATCTTGAGACAGACGCCAATGCGCTGCGAGAATGCAGCCAGTGGCTCCTGTGTCGAGTAGGCATCAAAGTTCTCGCTGCTCTGCAGATAGCCTTCGCCCTGGTTGACGGTGGCACTGATCACACCATCCTTGATAGCCTTGGCAACGATGAACATCATGTCCTCTGGTGTGCCATCAAACTGCAACTTCTTGACGACATCCTGGAATGAGATTCTAGAGTAAGCTGCACATATCTTCTTCAATCCTGCCTTGATTACATTGGTTCTCAATCTGAAAGGTAGTGTGTCAGTCTACATGTGATCGATCAATCAATCCGATTCGTTCAATACTAAACATACCTTTGGATCAATGTAAAGGTGTTGTCAGCCTTGAACACTTCGGCATAGTTCTGGAGGACTTGGTGGAAGGAGCCAAGGTCACCAACACGGACAGACTGAGTGATGTGATAGTATGGTTTCAAAGCTGTGCGGAGGATCTGCTGGCTAAAGATGTTCCTCTCTGGTATCTCTCCCATCAGTAGCTGAACAATACAAAGAAGTTTATATACCTAATTGAATGGAAAGGGAATGGGAAGGGGATGGGGATGGTTAGTGACACAATGGGAGGTAAGGCATGCCCACTGGCTTGTGACCACTTACAGTTCTCTTGAAGCCAGAGGCAGAGTTTTGTGGAGCTTTACGGATTGCTTGATTCAGGAAGGTGTAGGACTCTGAGTACTCGAGCTGGATGGCCTTGATACGACCGAGATAGTAGAGGTAACGAGCGTATTGGTTGCTGTTGGCCTGTTCTGGGAAGGTGGTGTTGGTGACCAAGTTGTTGGCCTGCTCCACCAAGTTGTGCTCCAAGTAGTTGCGCAACAGCAAGTTCAACAACATTGCCTGACCCTCATCATTATGTCTCAATGTGGCAGTTCGCAGTGCATTGAGAAGCATACTAGAGTATTGAATAGATGTTAGGGGATATGGAATAATACCGAGTATGATGATGATGATGATGGGTATGGGATATACATACGGTCTCATTTGTTCGATATTATTTACAAGTTGACAACAAAGGCTGTGATAGAAGAACACCTTGGATGACAGAGGGTAGAGTGTAACACGGTTGTTCTGTTGGATGTTCTCGACCAATGCAGTTGAGCACTTGATGGCATCATCATATCGCTTCGAGTCAATCAAGAAGATCACAACCAACAAGTGGATATATGCCTCTACCTCTGGGATGATCGATGTTGGTGCTGTGTTTGGTACGCTATCAATCTCCATGTTGTTGGTCTAAATCATTCGAGTTAGTGATTGATTGAATGATTGATGATTGCTACACTACATACCTTTAACAATGAGAGTAATAGCTGCTTCTTGGGAGTCTCGGGGAAGACGTGGGCAACTATCTGAGTGAGTGCCTTTTGATTGAGCTTCTTGCGAATGGTTGTTGTCTGACGCAATACTCTAATGATGAATCTGTTCTCCTTGAGATCGACTGATCGCTCGATCAATTGAACATTCTTTCTGAGATCCGCCAGTGTGAGTGTCGTCGACTCCTTGGCAACATTCTCACCCTTTAGCTCTGCAGCTGAAGAAGGGGCGTCTGCCATCTCAACATCTTTGCTCTGTTCTTTGTTCATTTATTTATTGATATATATATTTATATATAATATGTAATATGTATTGTAATTGTATGTATGAATGTAATATTTGATTGAATTGGTTAATTAAAATTAATCAGCAAGTGTGAAGTTGATCAAATGATGATCATCACCCATCAAAAATTATTAAATATTTATTAAAGGGGGTTGGTGAAGTTCACATTTTGATGTTTGAATTGAATGATGGGTACCCAATCAAACTGGTATCCAATCATTAAATTAATATTATAATCGATATCTATCATCTAGTCCATGTGAGAGTTATAGAGATGAATACTCTTAAGAGTCGGAGGTACAATGGTTTTATTAAAGCACAACGGAGCATTCTTTCTATTCTATATTTTATCTTGGTAAGTACTTGGTCCTAGCCTAAATAAAGGTCCATCTTTGTTATTCATTTCACAAGGAGACAGATTAATAAAGTATTGCCAAATTGTATGATAATAATGTTTTAAAACTTAAGTTTATTAACCTTTTTTTTTGAGGTCCTGAATTTTTTTACAATATTATATATTATGATCAAACTTTTCGCAAAAATGCTAAGGCTCTTTGGCTTAGTGGCAGAGCATCTGTCTCGTAAACAGAAGGTCAGGAGTTCGATTCTCCTAAGAGCCAGTTTTTTAACAAAAGAAATTTTAGAATTTTAGAATTTTTTTTTAAAATTATATCCAAATGTCCACTAAGCCAAAGAGCCTTAGCATTTTTGCGAGAAGTTTGATCATGATCATAATAATTATAATTTCTTTGTGTTATTGTCTACTCAGGAAACTTGTGATCATCCTCCCATTACAATATATATCTCCCTTCATTTATACCAAATTGATTGATTCCAAGTTATTCCATTACTATATATCTATTCCATTTATATCAATTAATTGAGTAGTAGACTCTGGTAAATATTTGTCAATATGATTCTTGGGTTTCCCCTTTTCAACTTTTTTGAATGAAATTGAATGTTTGTTCAAAGTTGATTCATTTATTGTTATTCGATTTCAACAATATACATATATACACAATACATAAACATATATGTCTATAACAACAGCGGAAGCAGCTGCTGCAGCAGTTGGTATGTACTCTATTGCATACTCATTATTTGATACAACAACAACAACAGACTTGCTCACCACCACTTTAATATCAACAACAACAACAGCTGCAGAACACAAAAAGACAAAGGAAGATTGGAGAAAGGCAAAGGAGTTGGAAGAGGCGAGAAAGGCTGGTACAGCACCAGCAGAGAAGGATGAGGATGGCAATGATATCAATCCTCACATCCCACAGTACATCATGAAGGCACCATGGTACATCGACACGAACAAACCAGGTCTAAAGCATCAAAAGGCGCCTCTAAAGGATATGGGCTACAACAACTCTTGGTATCAACGAGGTGTCAGTGCTGGTCCTGCTGCAGTCAAGTATCGTAAAGGTGCATGCACCAACTGCGGTTCAATGACACATGCTGCCAAAGACTGTTGTGAACGACCTCGAAAGGTTGGCGCAAAGTACACAAACGACGACATCAAGCCAGACGAGGTTGTACAAGTATTAAACTTTGCCTACGACGCAAAGAGAGATCCATACAATGGTTACGATCCAAATTCATATCAAGAAGTTATGAGCAGTATGTATATCATTGTTTGATTGATTGAGTGGCACACCATGACTAACTCAATCAACAATAGTCTACGAAAAGGCAGAAGCAGCAAGAAGAAAGAAGAGATTACAAGAGATCATGAAAGAAAACAACATCAAGTATGTATATTTAATTGAATTCGAATGAATGAATGATTGATACTAATCACAAACTACACAACACAGAGAGGGAGATATAAAGAATGAAGAAGAACTGTTAAAGGAAGTGGAGGACAAGGCATTCGATACAGAGGGAGCAGACTTGATTCAAAAGATTGATCCAAAGTCAAGGACGACAGTGAGGAATCTTAGAATCCGTGAGGACACTGCAAAGTACTTGTACAATCTGGACATGGACTCTGCGCATTATGAACCAAAGAGTAGATCAATGAGAGAGAACCCTTTGCCTCATGCAAACATTGCCGATATACCATTCGCAGGCGACAACTTTACAAGGACCACTGGAGACACTAGGGAATTCATGAAGATGCAGATGTTCTCATGGGACGCTGTCGACAAGGGACAGGACGTGGACTTGTCGGCGGCGCCGTCGCAGGCATCAATCCTGCACGAGGAGTTCCTAAAGAAGAAGGAGTTGCTCAAGAACAAGGCCAAGGAGATCATACTCAACAAGTATGGTGGCGAGGAGTCACTCAAGAAGCCCGAGGAGCTCAGCAACGACGTCGTGCCACAGAGCGAGATCTATCAAGAGTACTCTGCGGCGGGCAAGTTGATCAAGGGCGTCGAGAAGATGATCAAGAGCAAGTACGACGAGGATGTATATATCAACAATCACAAGGCAGTCTGGGGCTCTTACTGGGAGAATGGCGTCTGGGGATTCCAATGCTGTAAGCAGACCATCAAGATATCATATTGTACAGGAGAGGCTGGAAGGAAGTTGAAGGAGAAGAAGCAGCAGCAACAACTGAGTAGCAGTGGTAGTGGATCAGATATACAACAACATGGCAATGGTACTGCTACTCATCAACATAATGATGATCGTCACATGGCAACAACAACATCAGCGGAAACAGAATCAAACAACAACAACAACAACAACAAGATGACGACGGATAAAGATAGGAAACAGATAGAAAAGGAAAAGAAAAGACAGGAAAAGAGAGAGGAGAAGGAGAAGAAAGAGAAATTGAAACGTGCCATTAAGGAACAGGAACAATTGAACAAGACAGACGTGGAGAAGGATGAACGTAAGCGAGCCTACAACTCATTGGCCAATGAAGGTCATCAAGTGACCGAAGAAGAGATGGAGGCCTATAATCTCAAGCGAATAAGGTCTGATGATCCAATGGCCAACTACAAAGAGGATGATCTATAGTCGACCGTTCATCGTCGTCTTTGTCGTTCTGATGTGATGCATGGATGGATGACATTGATTGATCAATTGRATCGTTTGATTGATTGACTCGGTCTTCGGCAATTCCCTCTCTCTCTCTCTCTCTCTCTCTCGTCAATTCAAGTATTATTTATAATATAAATTATATTATTGTTGCAAAGAAGAAGTGGTATTGTTTGTCGTCTTTTACTTTGAACTGAAGGACTGGTGGTGCACCATCTGCTTGTTGTTCACACACGGGGATGTTTCCCCTTGATTGAAAAGTGTTGGGCTCCAATGCGTCTCGTCATTCGAAATAGCCCCACATTTGGCCCATCACGGATTTTTCTTTTTTTTTGAAAGTTATCGACCAGATCTTTTATGTGAGAGACTCAAGACCAAAAAGGGCCAGAAACATCCATCCACATTACTCTCCATGTGTGTGATTGAATTGATGAATGGGAACTGTCTCTTTGTGTTTGTTGTTGGTGGTGTGTTTGTTTGAGCTGACAACTTTCAAATTCACACATAGACTGTTGGTCCACCATCAACAACATTGTTGTTATAAAGCAAAGATACTCAAACACACACATACACACACACAACTTATAAATACAAATACACATACACATACAGGCATCATCATCAATCACAATTAATCCGATCAATCAATCAATCAAGTTAGCAACAAACTCATTCATTCAATCAAACAATCACATCACTATATTAGACAATCAGATTTACCAATTATATTATACTACATACTACATACTACATGAATATACTCGTCTTGGGCAATCAATAATAATACTACTACAACTACATTATTTATTTATTTAATATACAGATATATATAGCAGTGATGGCTTATCGTCCAAGCCAATATACACTGTGCCTACTGCTAATGTTGCTGTTGGTGTGTCTGTTACAACAATGTTCAGCTGCTGCAGCATCAGCATCATCATCAACATCAGCGACGTCTACACCACAACGTCAACAACATAATATTAATATCCAACAAGAACAAGATTACGACGACAACAATGATTTACTTCAGATTGAGCTCGATGTCAGGAGCCAGCTGATCGATCAACACCTACAGACACTGTGCGCCATGCCTAGCTACGAGGTGTCAACTCTGGCAACATTATGTATAGATTATAAACAAGACGAGGAGGAGGAGGATGATAACATGGACGACGACAACGACAGTACTTCTCGATCCCAGCAACAACAACAACAACAACAACAACAACAACAATACAATAGACAACTGCTCAAGAGGTTAAATAGACAAGAGCAATTGTTACAACAATACTATGACGAGGCAGAGCGTGATGCCATTGAAGAGCACACGCTGAATATACCCTCGGAACTAAGGGACATCGTACCATCAACTTCAACACCAGCACCAACACTATCACCAACTCCAACAGTGGCAGGTACCAACACCTCTGCCAACAGTAGCCAGGCATTACAGAATGTTGCATTCTCATTGAACTTTACGGGCGGCACGTCGAGGTGCGGCACGTGCCCCTTCACAACGGAGCGTTTCTTTGAGAACTACTGCTGTAGCTCCGACACGGACAAGTGGAACGATGGCATCATCCAATTCCAAGATCCCCTACCCGACAGCGATGTCGTTGTCCTCCGCAAGGTCATCCTCCAAATCTTTGGACATTTCGAGACTGGCGATCCATCCTTGGTCATCTCACTAGATAGTGAGTATCCTCACCCATGTCACGTGACACCTCTGTCCATTGTTTGATTACTAACAATCATTCATTCAATCACTCAATCCAATCAATCAATCATTTGGAATGATTCCATTCCACCAACAGACCAACTGTTTACATTATTTACACCGCCATCAAAGAACTTGAGCAATTGTCCAAATTGCGCCACAAGCTCAGGCGTGTATATCATGACATACGCCAATGGTATGACCAACTACGTGTACAACAACACCAACTTCTTCCAATTCCAGAGCACAAACAATAAGACCAACATCTGTCTGTCGACCGTGTATGTCACGTTCTTCTACGGTCCAGTGTCGTACCGCGTGAGCTCGGTGGAGCCGTCGACCGGCCCGGGCACAGGCGGCACCAACATCATCGTCTATGGCCAGGGCTTTGTCAAGGACGCCTCAACATTCTGTCGCTTTGGCCCAACATCACGACGCAAGCAGTCTACATCAACACGACTGCCATCTCGTGCACCACACCCAACCTGGGCTTCACCATCAATGGCTTCTACAACGTCTCGATGCAGGTCTCCTTTGACTCGGGCATCAAGTTCTCGTATCCCGACCTCAACGTCAACTTTAGCTTCTACTACTTCCCCTCGCAGCCCCTCACTACCAACAAGTTTGATCGTCTCATTCTGATATCGGTGGGCTCGGGCCTTGCCGCAGCCATCCTCACGGGCGTCGTCGTCTTCCTCGGCGTGCAACGCTGGCAGGCAGCGCGCAACCTTCGTTCGCTCAGCGATTCAGACCGCGAGACCGAGCCGTTGTTTGGCGGTGGCAAGCGAGGCCTCTTTGGTGGCAAGAATGACACACACGACTACAAGACGACATTGTTTGAGATCAAGCCGATTGATATGAACGAGATCGTCGTGCTCAACCGTATTGGCCGTGGCAGCTGCGCCGAGGTGTACACTGGAACATGGCGCGGCATCACCGTGGCCATCAAGAAGGCCAAGATCCTCTCGGAGGACGATGACGAGTTCCTTTCGGAGCTGGCTCAGGAGGCCGCCATCATGTCGCAACTCCGCCATCCAAACGTCTGCCAGTTCCTCGGCACGTGTAACAATGTGCCCGAGGTCCTCATCGTCATGGAGTACATGTCGCGCGGCAGTCTCTACCGTATGCTGCACGATCGCTCCGTGATCATCGACTGGATGCGCATGAAGAGCATTGCACTTGACATTGCCAAGGGCATGAACTACCTTCACTGCTGCGACCCGATCATCATTCATCGTGACCTAAAGTCCCACAACTTGCTCGTGGACGAGCACTTCCGCGTCAAGATATCCGACTTTGGCCTGTCCACACGCTTCAAGCAGCATCTCGACAAGAAGACGACGATGACACCCGTGGGCACACCGTGCTGGACCGCGCCAGAGGTGCTACGCAATGATCCCTACACTGAGAAGGCCGACATCTTCTCGTATGCCATTGTACTTTGGGAGCTGGCCACCCGCGAGGACCCCTACGAGGGCATGCCAACATTCCAAATCGTCATCTCTGTTGGACAACACAAACTACGTCCCATCATGCCGGCACATGTTCCTGCACCCTTCACCAGGTTGATAACCGAGTGGTAAGTGTTTATATAATATTCCAGAAGATCCTTTTTGATTGATTGATTGATAACTAACATCAACACTCTCCCTCATCACTCATAGTTGGTCAGAGGATCCATCACAACGACCGTCATTCAATGACATTGTAAAGCGACTTGAAATTATGTAATTAAACCCTTTATCCTATACTCCTCATCCCCATTCCATCTTCTCGTATTAATTGATTGATTGTTTGATTGATTGAGTGAGGGAGTGATATAATGGACCAGTGGAGTCCATGACCAAGCTTACCTTGTGGTTTGATCACGCCACATTACAACAACATTCAATCTAATCTGATAATCTGTACATTGATTGAGTAGGTGATTGAACTTCCACGACTATCCTTTCCAAACAAATCAATCCTCAACAAACAACAACACAACAAAACAACAAGTCATTTGATCAGTGTGTGAGTGAGCGTAGTGTTTGGTTCCCCAAACGCCCTTTCAGCAATCAAGTCAAGTCTGCATCAAGCCAAACCCTGTAATGTGTGTGTCAACAACAATAGCATCAAGTAAATAATAGTAATAAGCAATAGTAATAGTAATAGTAATAATAATAATAGTAGTAATATATATACTGACAACAACAGTTTAGAAGTTCAGGCAAAGTTAGCGAACAATCAATCAAACATTCAATCATTCACTCATTCCTTGTAATTCAATTATTATAGTATTAGTTAAGATCAACTAGTGTGCACTGGTCCAGTGTCGTAGATATATATAGATAGATAGACAGCAGAGATAGATATACATTAAGACAGATAATCAAACAAACAGATCACAGCAGTAGTGTTTAGTTTAAGAGACAATCGATTGTTCATCTAAACATTATGCTGAAGAATGACAGATAACAAACTTATAAAGATCTCAGTAATAGGAGACAATGGAGTTGGCAAGGTATGTTTGTTGTTGTCACCATATATATCGTTTGTTCAAACACCTTTACTAACTCAATCATTCCAATCAATCAATCAATCATTCAATCATCAGAGCTCTATGATATTGAGATATACAGAGAATGTATTTCAATATGATAATACAAAGCTTGACTTATTTGTATGTACTTTAATTAATCAATCAATCAAAGTTAACGACCGACTCATACTCATACAACTTCATTGTTATACGACCAATACAGAAAGCAAAGATGTTGGATGTCAATGGAAAGAGCATCAAGCTTCAAGTAGTATGTAGTATTCAACTCACTCAAACATACATCCAATCCATCCATCACTAACATACTTGATCAATCAATCAAACAAACAATAGTGGAATACATGTGGACAGGAGAAGATGGCACAGTTAACATCTTCATACTATAGAGGAATGCAAGGAGTGATCATTGCATACGACTCCACATCAAAAGAGTCGTTCGAGAGGATGATTCAGAGATGGTGGCCAGACGCCAAGAGGTTCGCAGGCCAGACTACTCCGATATTTGTGGTCGGTTGCAAATGCGACTTGGACAAGCAGGTCAGCTCAGAGGTGCTGGCTGCATGGTGCAATCAGAACAAGATGGTGGGCTTTGAGTGCTCGTCGCGCACCGGCGAGAACATCGACGAGGTGTTCACATTGATGACGCGCAAGATACTCGCCACAATGACCACTGCGCCCGTGGGCGGCGCCCCACCCGTCACCACCAAGGACAAGGACAAGTCGGACAAGGAGAAGGAGAAGGAGAAGAAGAAAGACAACAGCGGCAGGAACTCGATCATCAAGATTTTGAGCACACTTTCGTCGAGCAGCAGCTCGGCCTACAGCAACACCAGTAGCATGGCGATGTCATCGAGCAACACAGCGCCGTTGGCGAGCTCGGGACCGAGCGGAGGCAGCACCACCACGACCAGCGGTGGCCAGGCCGCCTCGCTATCCTCGTCGCTCTCGTCCACATCGTCAATCACATCGACCAGCTCAACGTCCTCGACGTCGCTGCAGTCGTCGACGGGCATCACCACAAGCCCATCGGGATCGGATCTGTCGAGCAGCAAGAGCAAGAAGAAGAAGAGTGGGATACTTGACAAGACGCTGCGCGGTAGCAATGTATATACATCCCCAACACAACCCGCCGCACCCACTACCACTGCCTCGCCCATCCCGCCAGCGACGCAGGATCAGTTCATGAGGACGAGGATGAAGATTCTTCAGATCCCCATCCCAACGACACCGCCACAAAAGGTCAAGCCAAGCACAAGGATGGGCGCTTATCCTAGACCTGCTCCAGCCCCTGCAGGAACTAGTAATGCGGTAGCAGGAGGTGCCTTGCCTCAGGCCACTACCCCAACATTGTCGGCGTCTGCCACCTCACCAGCGCTGCCGGCAACTACCTCACCAACAACAACGACATCGACATCGACCCAGCCAATAACAATGACAACAATGATGACAACTACGACTACAACTGGTACAACGATGATTACAAGCACAACAAACACAGCAGCATCCAACAACAACAATAATGACGCTGTCAATGGCTCGAGCACAACGACAGCAAACAACGCCAGCGGTGGTGGAGGATCACCAATGATACTTGGAATATCTTTGATGAAATCATCCTCACCGCTTGTAGAGCGCAAGAACCCTGATGTGTCCTCCATCGCGTCTCGGTCGCCCAAGTCATCGACGCCCGACAGTCTGGAAGGCTTCCACGAAGCCTACGGCTACCAGGCCTTTGCCTGCGACGATCAGCAGAATTGGTCCAAGTCGATGGTGGAGGAGCTCATCGAGGAGCGACGCAGTCTCATCAACAACAACACCAAGTCCACGCCCAACCTGCTGGCTTCCAACTCTAGCGTCCCCATCACCTACAGCAGCACACAGAGCGAGGGCAGTCTGGCGACTGCACCCATTCCGACTTTTCATATCTCGGCACAGCCGCACGAAACCACAGGCACCTCCCCGCAGGACCCAATGTTCCCTAGCAGGACTCCGCGCAGGTCCAACGAGTTTAAGTATCCAGACGATGCAGATAATATCGTTGGTGGCCCGTCTGTCCACAACACCAACAACAGCAACAATGCTCTGGATACACAGAGAGTAACGCTCAATATTACATCCACATCGACAACCTCATCACCGTCGTCGCAGCACGATGATGTACCACACATTCCCAATCAACGTCTGCTTCAGCCCACACCTGGCATGTCGTTGTCCTCCAACGCTATCTTTGTCGCTGCGTCCAATCCCGCGCAGGACCACAGTGATACAGAGTCCATCGTTGGTTCGATCATTGGTTCGTCATGTGGAGGTGGCCGCGAGAGCTACAACCTCGACGCCGATGAGTTGGAAGAGGCCATCAAGCACAATTCTACAAACCAAGGAGAGGCTCAAGCAGTCCAAGGCAAAGGCAACAACAACAACAATATTGACAACAACACCAACAACAACAATAATAATAACAACAATAACAATCGAGGCAGCGCCAACAGTGGCACAGGTATCGAGAGCAGTGGCGCCAACAACAGCAACAACAACAACAACAATCAACAAGACAACTTTAAGACATTTTGCGACATCGAGGACATCAACCCATACGACGAATCAAACTACTCAAAGTCGAATGGCCTGGCGACAGATTCGGAGCAATCCGCGACCAATCACACGGGCGATAACATCGACTTTGACACTACGCCCGTCTACACTTCGGACCTGAACGACCGCTTCCAAGAGGTCGTTCTCAAGTTCCGAGACATCCCCTCGCTCGACACCAACTTGTACAACCTCCAGGAGATTAGTACCGATCTACTACACATCTCCCAGGACTTTATCCACACGGTCAAGACCTATGGACGTATTATCATCGAAGAGCGCTTCCTCCAAGAGAAGACAATCAAACACACGTCACTCGGTGGACATTTGGGCGGCGACAAATATATAGTCAGGAATGTGTTGTTCAAGGTAAGTCAAGTCCATCATGTGCATCATGTATGTGTTCGACACTAACCAATCAAACAAACAACATTATAGTTTGCAGGTGGATCACCTCATGGAGTCTATGGCGAGTGGGGTGGCGCAAAGGTTGGAGGACAAGAACTGAAAGGATGCATGGCGACACTGAACTGTCCGATCAATGGACTGTGTGTGCCTTTGATGGCCTTGGTCGACTTCATGGGCTACCGTCTGATAGCCATGAGCATTCTGCCGATATCATCGTCGAGCGAGCACTCCACCATCGTGTATGGATCCAGCGACATGGGACAAACGGTGCACGCATCTCACGAGCCCTCACTGGACGTCATGCGTCATTTGGCACAGGCACTCAATCTCAAGGCGCACATGGGAGGCACTCAAAAGCCCGTAAAAGTGTACTCGGCCACGGATATTGAAGGCCACATTGGCACAGACGGCAGGTACTACCTGATTGACTTTAGTAGGACATTCCCGCCGACCTACCCCGACTTGTCGGTGCCAGGCGGCCACCTCTTCCAGCTGTTCCGTCCCGAGTTCCTGAAGAACCATCCCAAGCCCCTGTGCTCCGATGCATTCAGTGGCTTCCTCAAGCACGACTCTGAGCGACAGATTCATAACAACGAGGTGAAGGAGGCTACGCAGCGTTTGCTCAACGACCTCATCCCCAAGGTGTCCTCGCGTTTGAAGGGACTGATCAAGGAGTCGCTGGAGAATGGCGACCTTCTTCGTGGCGGCGTCCACATTCCCGAGCAGTTCCACAGACATGGCATCAACATGCGATTCATCGGACATATGCTGGTGATTGTGGATGAGCGTGAGGCAGGATTTGTACTGCTGATCGAGGCCATTGCCAGAGTGCTCAAGAATGATCTTCGACGACGTCTGCGAGAGACGATGAAGCAGTTCAAGGAGCCGCTGAGCGCGCCCTACATCCAGCTGACCACCAACTTCCTAAACATGGTGTTTGGTGAGTCGACCACACCCAACTTCAAGACCGAGGAGTTCTGGGAGCAGACCGTGGCCACAGAGCTCTACTCCAAGTTTTATATCTACCAGGTCCCCAACGTCGTCTCGGGCTCAAAGCTGCCGAACGAGGTGCCCACGCAGCCCGGCCAGCACCCCAAACACCCCAACGCCCAACAACAAGGTGGCATGAATAGTTCCACCTCGGGCTACCCCTTCATGTACAACAACGCCACCCAGACCGCCGACGGACGCAAACTGTCCATGATCCTGCCGCCAGGATGGAAGCTGAGGGACATCCTCGAGGACCGACTGACACAGATCTCTGGCTCGTTTGTCCTGGGTCGTCATCTACTCTTCACACGCTTCAGAGACATGACTCACCTCAAGTTTAGGAAACGCACAATCGAGAAGGTGGCAGACACAAGTCAACTCCTCTGGAATCCTTATAAGCCATTCAACAACTCTGATCTCAAGAAGATTAGTGTCAGAGTAAAGGTATGTCCAGGACGGCGACACACAGCATGATGACCACTGACGACTAACAACAATCTCCTCCACTCACATAGCATACCGATCTTGTAACCAATGCAGAGGGAACATTCTTCTATGCAAAGGCAAWTGGCAGAGACGTCACACTCGACTGCATTACATCTGTTCCACAAGGCAAGGAAAAGATTCGAGCTGGCACTGATATCAAACCCAAACAACAAGGAGACGCTGCAGCTGTGTGCGCAGACTTGGTGCAAGATTCTAGAGTTTAGCAGCAGCGAGGGCAAGAACATGTCCAACGTCTGCTTCCCTATGAATGTGCCAGCGGTCGTCAACACGGACAGGTACTTCTTGCGAGCAATCGATGCCAACCCCAAGGGCCCCGTCATCCTCTTCTTCTATGCCAGATTCTTGGTGCGCTGCGATCGTATCGAGAAGGCAGAGACCTACTTCCTTCGAAGTCTGGAAGAGGACCCGTTCAACTATCGCTGTCTGATCGCCTATGCCAACTTCCTCACCGAGCGAGGCTTCCCCAACGAATCATCCCTCTTCCTCAACAGAGCACAAGAGTGCAAGAATGTCATTGTCGGAGGATTGGACAGATAGACGGATAGATAAAGCTTATGTGGATTGTACAAAATTGTTATATTGTAGTTGTCGTTGTTGTTGTTGTTGTTGTGTCTGCTGTGGACTCAGTATCAACAGACTCCTCTGTTGAGTGATCGCCGACGTTGTCTTCGTTGTCCTCGTCATGAGTGTCCTCCTCAGTGGTCACCACTGGGATGTCACGCTTCCTCTTGCAGACGAGGAACAATGTGTCAAACTTGGTGTCCGGTACGAAGCGTTTGGGGAACTCGCTGACATTGACTTCGAAACCATACTTGTCCTCCATGCACTTGATAAACTCGGGGATTCCCTGACGTACTGTGGCACATGTGCCATAGAACGTTCCCTTTCGCGTGAGACTCTTGTGGATAACTCTGGCCAATGCCTCCACCAAGTTGACATCGTAGACCACCTCTGTTCCAATGATCACCTCAAAGCCATGTACCTTGGGCACTTTATCTCTCTTCCAATCGAGTGGCGCCACCTCACATGAGCTCCTGATTGCTGGTACCTTGATAGAGTTGATCTTGACATTGTCGCGCAGCGTTCTAACAATCTTTGGCGTGTAGTCTGTCATGAGCACTGACTTGGCGAGCAGACCTGCAGCCAGACCAGCGATACCAAGTCCAGAGCCAAGCTCCAACACGTCCTTGCCAGTGAAGATGTCAGGGTTCTCCAGTATCCAACGACAAAAGCCAATGCCAGCGTCCCATACTCGCCATGCTACGCCCACATCGTCAAAGTGCAGCTGTCTGAGTTCAAGTGTCCATTGGAATGCGCCAGAGCTCTCGTCGTACTGACCAAGTCCTACACGACGCGTACTATAGGGTGCACATCGCCGCAGACATTCGATGGTGGTCGCAGAGTCATTCAGAATGTCTGGATCATAAGATGTCTCTAACAATGTCTCTAAAAGATGTACTGCATCCAATGATCGCAATATCTCATTGACTGGTGTATCCTTTAGTGATACCAACTTCAAAGACAATATAACACTCCTAACCAGTTCTATATCCTCATGATTCAACAGTTCAAACATCGCTGGGAATATACCCGTCTTCTCCAAGTCCTTCATGTCACTCTCTATTGTAACGTAATGATTGGTTGAGTATGAGTAACAAGTTGTGTATTGATTGATTGATTGAATGGTCACATACTAGGGTTGTTAATCCAATCATTGAGCTTTGATAGTGATTGATGGATGAGCTTCAAGTCATTCGATCTAAGTACCTCTTTTGTAACAAGTGAATGGTTGGTTACTGCCACCTTTCTAGCTTGTTGACTTATTTGTTGTATTCTACTTGTCATTGTTGTTGTTAATTATCTCTATTATAATATATGTACACGTATCCTTTCATGAATTCAATTGAGCTCAACAACAAAAGAACGAACGAATGAACGAAACGTTGTGATTCGCACACCATCCTATTGGAATTAATCCATTTTTGGTAAAAGATCAATCAGATTGATTGATGGAAGGATGGAATAATAAATAAATATATATATTGTTTTATTGATTAAGGGTGTTGACTGTTGTCTGGATCCTTATTGGACTCGACTAACCATGTCAATGGTTGTTTGAATCTCAGGAAGATTGATTGAAGGGTAGGAGGAGGACCTTAGGCGACTCTGTTGAATGTTGCTGGAGTGGCAGAGTTGATGGCATAACCAAACTCAACTCCTTGACCTGGTGCCAAAGTGTTGGCCCATGATGGAAGTACCCAATATCCGTTGGCATCCTGGGATAGACCCCACATGCCGTTGATGATGGCATTCTGTGGCGAACTGAACTTGGGGTTGGAGATAGTGGTGGCTCCATTGTTCTTAACCTGGCCGGATATCTGGCTGGTTGGTGGATTGCTGCCCCATTGAGAGGTCACTGATTGGGTAAAGACCAATGTGTTGGGTGAGGTGGTCGAGGATGAAGTGGTGGCCGAGGTGGTCGTTGATGGTCCGGTAGTTGTGGTAGTAGTTGGCTTGACTGTTGTCGACGAGGTAGTGGCTGGTGTGGTTGTGGTAGTTGTGGTAGTTGGCTTGACAGTTGTGGAGGAGGTTGTCGATGAGGTTGTGGCTGGGGCGGTAGTTGTGGTAGTTGTTGTTGGCTTGACAGTTGTTGAGGTGGTCGAGGAGGTAGTTGCTGGGGCAGTGGTAGTGGTAGTAGTAGTTGATGTTCTGGTGGTAGTAGTGGTAGTAGTTGATGGTCTAGTGGTGGATGTAGACGAGGTAGTGGCGGGGGTGGTGGTAGAGGAGGCAGTTGTTGGTCTGGCAGTCTTAAGGTAGTTGGAGACATATTGAGCAAAGTTGGTTGAGCCAGAGACAATGTTGGCGTTGGCAACGGAAACATCCCATAATCCATGGCACCTCCAAAGTTTGGATCGTTGATGTAGTTGGCGAGCAGGGAGGTCAGGGTTGGGGCAGTGACGTATCCTGAACCAGCAGCGTAGGTGTCACCTGGAGCACCGACCATGATCTTGGTGCCTGGTGAGTTGGCGCTAATCCACTGCGACCAGGTGTTGTAGTTGAACTGCGAGCCTGAAGCAAGGCCACACCAGTTGTTGTAGAACTGAATGCTGATAAAGTCAAGCTTACCAGTGCTCAGGGCAGATCCGGTCCATGGTCCGACCATTGCGTCTGGGTAGACACACTGTGGGGCGGCATGGATGTAGTACCTCTTTGATGCGCCGGCAAAGTACTGGATCTTGAGAGTGTTGACAAAGACGTCGTAGTATTCCTTGGGTCCTCCCTCGAGATCAAGGTCGATACCATCGAGCTGGACGGAACCGAATGGACGGGGGTAGGTTGAGTCGCTGCCTCCGAGGAACATGTTCCAGATGGTCTTTGCGAACTGGGTGGCCTGGGCCGAGCTGGTGAATCCGTAGTTGCCAACGGCACCTCCGAGTGAGAGGAGGACGATCTTGCCCTTGCTCTGGCAGGTAGCGGCACCAGAGCCGATGTTTGGACACTGGAGCAGCTGGCTGTAGCCTGGGTAAGTACCGCCACACATGTTGGCAAAGTTAAGAGTTGGGGCGGGGATGTTGGTGCCGATGATGTTCTCGCCAGAGAAGAAGTTAATCAAGAAGGAGACAATGAGTACATCGTAGGTGTTATCAGTACAGTAAGTGCCGAGTTCAGTTTGATATGGTCTGCCGCCTTTTGTATGGAGTGGAGTGGATATAGTGTGTCAGCATGTTTATGATCAGTGTGTTGGCCTGGTAACAAGGTGTCACCCACTCTGATTGATCGATCTCTGGAATTTTGTTAATATACATACCTGGAGCAGCACTATTCTGGCCCCAATAACCGACAAAGTTATTGCCACTGTTGATGTTGAAGGCGTTGGCAGCCAGTGCCAATGAGAGTATAATACAGATAAAGAGTGAGAATTTCATGTTATATATGATTGATTGATTGTTTGTTTGTTTGGTTGATTGGTTGAATTGGTTGAATTGGACAATGCAGGTATTGATACTATTTATAACAACCTACATACCATACTTACACATATCACAATTAGTCGACACAGCAAGCCCGCTATTCCATCCATCTATCCATCCATTCTTTCTCGGTGTTTCATCCAATACCATCATAATTATGCTGGTATCCAAGATCCTAGGATGGATGGGTATACTCAGCCAACCAGTTTACATCGGTTACATGAACTGGCGGCCAAAAGTGAGAACTCTGACCTTAGGATGAGCCACAAAAGTAAAGCCATCCATCCAAGAATGTCGAGTCCACTCCGCTTCGTGATTCGATTGTTTGAGTGTTTAGTGTGTTGGGTTGAGTGAGTTGATCTATGTCGACCTTTGATGGTTTGTTGGTGTACCTGCCCAACAATCGAGGGTTATGGAGTGTGGGCCGAGACCATCCATCCATCCATTATCCAATACATTTGCAGGATGAATGAATGAATCAGTACTGGTATCGATTACTGTAGTAAGCAACTTCAATACCGCGCGTGTTTAATTAACATTCCTGAGTGTTGGGCCAGACCCATCCAATGGAACATTGGGGGGGTGTCATTCAAGCCGGATCTGCCCTGTCAATTACACATTCAGACCCATGGACGGATGAATGCGAGTGTGTAGGTATGTATGTAGCCCATTGATAAGGTGCCATGTTTGGGGCGTTCTTGATTAGTGTATCTTCAGCCATCATTTAGGCTTAGTTTGAAACAAGTTGACGAGATATTTGACAATCAATGCACACACAATCACGCTGTTAATGGTTTTTTTTATAGCTTACCTGCTGGATTGATCACTTCACTCTCCCACCCTCCCCTCTTTGATTACAAAATTTGTTACATTACAATAATAATGCGTACCTCGTCTCAAAGTGCGTGGATGTCAATTGGATTGATAACATAACCTCGAGGATAAATTGATGACAATCTACCATCTATATCACTAATAGAGCAAAGGCACACGGGAATAATTATCACAATATTATTGTGATACTCTTTCTATATCTCTCTCTCTCTCTCAATAATCACATAATAACAGATAATGACACCAATCACTTTGCCATCATCACAGGGTTGTTGGCTTTGTCAAAAGAGGAGTATGCATTCAAATTAATGTTATAACTGAGAGTTACATTGCGGGCGGCCAGTCAGTAGACTTAAACATGGAATGGTGACATCAATACAATGTCATAATTGATTTCTTCCTTTTAATTTAAGACATGAGAGTAGTGATGATGTACTAAAGTTCAATAGTACAACTACAACTACAACTTCAACAACAACAACAAACAAAAACAATGCAGAGCAAACGACTATCACAAAGCCGGATATGAGGCTTGAATGTCTTCATTTGGGCTGCGTAAGGTCCGCCTTTGATTATGCACCTTGAGTACTCATTGCCCCGATGATCATGGTTGCACAAAGACCTATGCATCGTGTCCAAACTTCAGAAGCTATCGCATAAAGATGTTCATTGCTGATGCCGACGACAAAGATTCAATCGAGATGATGCTGGCCGATGGACTCATCAAGTGTTTGCACACCGCTTGCTTCTTCACAACGTTGAAGTCCCTGAGCGAACACTTGTTGAGGAAAGGTGGAGACCATCAATGTGCAGACCGCAACAGCTGTCCAGGTTGTCTGCGCAGTGACTTGTTGATGACACGGTACACTCTTCCCAATGACCGTACAACCAAGTCGTTCGTATGTCTGCACGATGGTTGCTCCAAAGAGTTCGAAGACTTTGGACTGTTGCAAAAGCATTGCAAGAAAATGCATCAATGTCGAACATTCGCTAGTTGTCTCAATCAACAACGCTACCGAACAACTCACTTCACCGCAGCGCCCGATGACTTGGAGTCGATCAAGATGCTGACAGCCAGAGGTCTCATCCAGTGTCTACATTCAACATGCACCTCCTACTTCAAGAATACCAGGTCAATCAAGAAGCACTTTAGAATCTATCACCCAGGTCACGATCTATCATCCATATTTGAATCAACTCTGAAACGCAAACGATCCATGATGGACGGCGAAGAGGAGGACGATGAGGAGGATGATAAGGAGGACGAAGAGGAGGACGATGAGGATATTGATATGGATCAAGATAATGGACAAGATGGTGAGGATGATGAGGATGTGTCTCTCATCTTGACATTTCCATCATCACCAACCAACCATGCAAGCAATGTCAAGATCAAGTGTCTGCACTCCAACTGCGATAAATCGTTCGCTATGAGGTACCAAATGCTCCATCACAACAGGAAGGATCACCAATGTACAGACCACCAGAGCTGTCAAGGATGCATGCTCCGACGACTGTGTGCGATGAGAAATGATTCTGCCTCCTTGCCCAAGTTCAAGTGTCATCACGATGGATGTCCAACCTCTCTTGTGAACTATTCATCGTTGCGCAAACACTGCCGATTCCACCACCGATGCACCAAGACATACGCAGCATGTCCAAACTATCAGACACATCAAAAGACGAGTTTCTTTGCCGATCCTGATGACACTGAATCAATCTCAATGTTGACAGCAAGAGGATTGTTCCAATGTCCACACACATCATGTGGTCACTTCATGGCCACTAACAGAGCCAAGAATCATCACCTTGCAAAGGAGCATCAATGTCCTGATCCTGCGAGTTGTCAAGGTTGTATCGATCATCACCCGAGACGCTGGACAGGAGCTCCACCCAATGACAACAAGCAGGAGGGCAAGTTCAAATGTCTGCATGACGCTGACTGCACCAAGAGCTTCATCTCCTCGAGTGGCATGTATTATCATTGAAAGAAGAATCACAAGTGCCCAAACTCATATGGAACATGTCCAAACTTTCGAGAGTACCGCGCTCAGAGGTACTATGCATCACACGACGACACTAAATCAATCGAGATGCTCCTGGCCGATGGATTCCTCAGGTGTGATCATCCAGAATGCATCTACTTCTTCAAAGATGGTATCTCCAAACGGGGTCACATGGTCCTTAGACATGAGTGTTCCGATCCACATGAGTGCGAGGCATGTGTCGAGCGCAACTTTCACATCGACAATGTGAATGTTGACAATCAATCCCAGTCCCAGTCAAAGTCCAAAGGAGGTAAAAGGCAACGCGAGATCATCAGTGGGAAGTTGGTACCGGTCGGTATGGCTCTCAGGAAGAATACGAAGACAACAAACAACACAAATGGCTTTGTCAAGCCCAATCAAGTTGGAGTGTGGAATGAGAGAATGTTCAACGTGATCAAATGTCCACACATTGGATGTGAGGAGTCTGTCCAGCCAAGTATGATCAACCAACATCTTCGACTGCCACACACATGTCCAGTGTCACAACAACAACAACAGCATTGTGATGGTTGCCAGTTGTCTCGTCACAGTGGTGATCATGATGAACATCAACGTGATTGGTTACTCGTGTGACTGAGAGTGATCAATCAAACTAACAGAATAAATAAACAATAGAAGTCGTTGTTTACCAAATTCTTGAGATCAGTCATACATTGGCAATTTCTATATTGTCAATCATCTCGATGAAACCAATCAAAATGATGATGATGATCACCGATCATCAGGAGTTATCATGTCAAGTCCAACAGTTGGTGATCATGACGTTCTAATGCCGGTTTGTTGACTGATATTCCTCACGAATCGTCATTGAGTGACATTGGGAAAGGTGTCTATGATTCGAATCGAGAGGTCCAGACTACAATAATATTATTGTAGTATCTGTCAGGGAATTGGTGGCGTTGCACATTCTAACTTGAACGCGATCCGGGTCGTACGACTTCATCAGAGCAGCCCCAACAGGGAACAGACTTACTTCACCAAGTATGAGTACAGAGTTGTTGGGCTCGTGTTTCCTTCCCTAATGATGAAACTGTACCCGAAGAGGTGGGTATGAAGGTCTATCTTTAACTTTCGTCTGTGTTTGGTTTGTTGTTTGATGGTTGTTTGTGTTGAATGCTTGTCTGTTCTGAACAGACCCGACGTCTAGTTAAAGTCGATGGGGCAACGACCATCTGCACGGTTTTGGGTTCGATGCCGCCCATCTAGGAGGCTGGGATGAGTGTACATTTTAAGTTGGAGCAAGAGATCGGGTCTGTAGGTAACATGATTGAGCAAAGATGAGGTCCACAATCCCATCAAGACGGCCGTTGTGTGAGTTGGAAACGAGTGATGATGCATCATGCAATTCTTGAGTAACTTGTGTGATTGGTTTTATGCCGATTCGATTCTGTTTTGATTGGTTTGATGAGCTGGGGATCGAACTTGTGCAGGGCGTGCCCCTTCACTTTGCGATTTTAGTATCTGGTAGTCTGATGTACACGATCATCGCCAGAACTCATCCCAACACACAGCCATATGGAGCAAGAGTAAACGAGATGGCCTTCGTTTGTTTGTTGTTTAAGTCTCTTTGAGGGAGGAGACGTGAAGGGAATGTTCCTGGCCATCCTCGAACTGGCTGGCGAGGTCGAGTAACCTGTGGCTGGTACCAACAACCAAAGTCTATAACTACTCGTCTACAAGAACTTACATTATTTATTATCCACATCATTGATAAATATATATATACAATTATTTATTTAACATCACTCCTTAATTATATATATATTAATAATAAAGGATGGATGCCAAAAAGATCATCTTATTTATTGCTTGCCTCGTATTGGCATTAAATGTTGCTGAAGGTATGTCACCCTAATCAATCAATCATCACTTCCATCACTTTCGTTTGGACCCACTCACACACACTAATAAATGATCAATCACACTAACCATACAACCATTTCTTATATTAGCCTCTCACTTTAGATATGGCCAGCTTACCTGGAAGTCACTGAATGACACCCGCCCCAACGTGTTCACCATCCAGTTCTCCCTCAAGTGTTCCTTCCGTCACAGCTACTACACCGCTTTGAACAACAATGTTGAGCTCAAGGTCGGTAACTTCTTCTCCAACAATGCTGTCACCCTCAACTGGGGTGGCACGCTCCAACAGATAAACACCAACTTCACGGTCAACAACATCGACAAGGTTGAGGACACCCTCCATGCTGAGTTCATCTTCACCGCCAACACCCTCACTTACGGCCGTAAGAACCTTATCGCCTACTATGAGAGCAGTGCACGTTTGACCAACTTGAACAACAATGCCAATGGTATGTATTCATTCATACTTATTCTTTCATTTAATCAATCCTACATGTACACTAACATCTTATTCCTTTTTCCATCACTTCCTCTTCTTCTCCATCTTAAGCCAACTGGCACATTGAGACTGTTGTCCCAATGTTGGATCCAAACTGGCCATCTGCACTCCAGAGCTCCCCAGTGTCCAGTATGATGCCAACCATTGATGTGTACATGGGAAGACCAAACTACTTTGCCATCCCAGTGATTGACCTCCAAACCTCCACTTTCACCTACGCCCTGTCCACTTTGTTGAACTTTGTCCAGCCACCACAACTTAGCATCAACGCCTCTGGTATCGTCACCTACACCCCAACTGCCCTTGGTCTCTGGTCCACTCAGATCAGAATCGGAAAGCCCGCCCCACTCAACACCTACATCCACGTCGACTTCATCATCCGTGTGTCCAACGCCCCACCACCCACTGCCACCCCACCATTCCTCAAGGACCCAACCCCAGCCCAAGGCGAGACCTTTATTGTTGAGGAAGGAACAACCTTCAGTGTTGTGATCAGCGGTGCCACCTTGAACGCTGCCACCAGTGTCAACATCTCCATCGGTGAGGTCCCAAGCGGAATGACTGTGTCTTCCCAGGTCAACACCCCACAGACTGCCACCGGTAGCTCTGGCAACATCACTTTGACCTGGGTCCCAACCTTGGCCAACGTCGGTGTCTACGTCATCAACATCGGTCTCACTGACAGCAAGGGATTGAAGATGACCGAGGGTATCCGTTACTTCTACGTCCGTGTCCCAGCCTCCACCTGTGATCCAAGCCCATGCATTTGTCCAGTTGGTGCTGGTCAGCTCTGTGACGATAACAACTCATGTACCGTTGACTCTTGCAAGGGACCATACCCAATCACCATCAACAAGTGTCTCCACACTCCAATCACCTGTGCCACCGAGTCTGCTGCCGACCCATGTTTCCCATGGATGTGTATGAACGGAACCTGTGTTAGAGATCTCTCCAGCCCAAAGGGATGTCCATCCAAGAGCTGTCAGACTTCAATGTGTGACTCCAACCAAGGTGGATGCAAGTACCAGCCACTGTGCCAGTCCACTCCATGCATGAACTCTGTCTGTAACGCCAACAACCAGACCTGCACCAACACTCCAGTCGACTGCTCCGGCAACGACCAGTGTCTCCTCTACTCTTGTGATGCTGCTCTCGGTTGTGTCACCAAGTCCAAGGTGTGCAAGCCATCCAACCCAACTCCATGCACTGCCTACACCTGTGACTCCCAGATTGGTTGTCAGGTTAGAGCACTCAACAGCACCGAGTGTGGATGTTGTGACCCAAGCGCCAACACCAACAGATGTCAGATCGGCACCTGCAACACCGCCACCGGCCAATGTGACTACACTGACGTTGCCATTGATGATGGCAATGCATGCACCATTGATGCCTGTGACCCACTCACTGGAAAGATTACCCATACCGATGTCTCTGTTGATGACTCCAATGCCTGCACCATCGATACTTGTGATGTTGCCACCGGTGTGATCACTCACACTGATGTCTCCATCGACGACTCCAACGCTTGCACCATCGACACTTGTGACATTGCTACCGGTATCATCTCGCACACTGATGTTGTGATTGATGACTCGAACGCCTGTACCATCGACACTTGTGATGTTGCTACCGGAGTGATTACTCACACCGATGTCGCTATCGACGACTTGAACGCTTGCACCATTGACACTTGCAACACCACCTCTGGCCTCATCTCGCACACTGATGTTGTCATTGACGACTCGAATGCCTGCACCATCGACACCTGTGACATCGCCACTGGTATTATCTCTCACACTGACGTTGTGATTGATGACTCAAATGCCTGCACGATCGACACTTGTGACATTGCCACCGGAATTATTTCTCACACTGATGTTTCAATCGACGACTCTAACGCATGCACCATTGACTTCTGTAACACTACCACTGGTGAGATCACTCACACTGATGTCTCCATCGACGACTCCAATGCCTGCACCATTGACACCTGTGACATTGCCACCGGTATCATCTCGCACACCGACGTCGTGATTGACGATTCCAACGCATGCACCATCGACACCTGTGACATCGCCACCGGTATCATCTCACACACTGATGTTGTCATTGACGACTCGAATGCCTGTACCATCGACACTTGTGACATCGCAACTGGTATCATCTCCCACACTGACGTCTCCATCGACGACTCGAACGCCTGCACCATCGACACTTGTGACATTGCCACCGGTACCATCACTCATACAGATGTCTCCATCGACGACTCCAACGCCTGTACCATTGATTTCTGTAACACAACCACTGGTATCATCACTCACACTGACGTCTCGATCGACGACTCCGACGCATGCACCATCGACTCATGTGACATCGCAACTGGTATCATCACCCACACTGATGTCTCAATCGATGACTCGAACGCCTGCACCATCGACACTTGCAACACTACCACTGGTCTCATCTCCCACACTGATGTCTCCATCGACGACTCCAACGCATGCACCATCGACTCGTGTGACATCGCCACTGGTCTCATCTCTCACACTGCCGTCTCCATTGATGACTCGAACGCCTGCACCATCGACTCGTGTGATATTGCCACCGGAGTTATTACCCACACTGATGTTCTGATTGATGACTCTAACGCCTGCACCATCGACACCTGTGACATCACCACTGGTATCATCTCCCATACTGACGTCTCCATCGACGACTCCAACGCATGCACCATCGACGCTTGCAACACCACCTCTGGTGTGATCACCCACACCGACAACCCAGCCATCAATGACAACAACGCCTGCACCATTGACACCTGTGACGTTGCCACCGGAATCATCACCCACACCAACGTTGTGATCGACGACAGCCAAGCATGCACCATCGATGTCTGTGACCCAGCTACTGGCGCCATCACCCATCAGCCCAAGGCCTGCTCGGGTTGCCAGACCTGCCAGTCGGCCACCGGCCTCTGCGTCGACACCGTCTCGCAGTGCACTGATGGAAACGTCTGCTCATTCCCATCCTGCATCAACGCCACCTGTATCTACACTCCAAACACCTGTGACGATGGAAACGGATGCACAATCGACACCTGCACTCTTACCAACGGATGTGTCCACACCAACGTCGCCATCAACGACGGCAACGCCTGTACCATCGACGCTTGCAACCCCGCCACCGGTGCCATCACCCACATCGATGTGAACATCAATGACAACAACGCCTGTACCATCGACTTCTGTAACAAGACCACTGGAGTGATTACCCACACTGACGTTGTGATCAACGACAACAACGCCTGCACAATCGACTCTTGTGACCGTGTCACCGGACTGATCACTCACATCGGTGTTGTCATCAATGACAACAACGCATGCACCATCGACTCATGTAACTCCACCACCGGTGTGATCAAGCACACTGACGTTGTGATCGACGACAACAACGCATGTACCGCCGATGCCTGTGACCGTATCACTGGTCTCATCACCCACGTTGCCAAGAAGTGCTCTGGTTGCCAGACCTGTCAGCCATCGACCGGCAAGTGTCTCGACACTGCCACACTGTGCACTGGAGGCAACGCCTGCCAGCTCGGCAAGTGCACCAACGGAACCTGTTCATACGTCGCCAACAAGTGTGACGACGGTGACAGTTGCACCAAGGACACATGCAGCCTCAGCAAGGGATGCATCCACACTCCAATCAACTGTGACCACGAGTGTGACGACAAATGCAAGTTCTCCGTATGCAAGAACGGCACGTGTGTCATGGAGAACGTCAACTGTGACGACGGTAACCCCACCACATGTGACTCATGTAGCTCGGACAAGGGCTGCCGCCACACCAGCTGTGACGATGGCAACAAGTGCACGATCGACCTGTGCTCGTCCAGCGGCAAATGTACTCACAAGCCAGTCAACTGTGATGACAACAACGCCAACACCTACGACTACTGCTCGCCATCCAATGGCGCCTGTGTCCACACACCATGCAAGGGCAAACAATGCAAGCCAAACGGTGGATACGACACTGACACCGACAACGACACCGACAATGACCGCGACTAATCCGATACTGAGTTGAGTGTTCTCACTTTGTAGACGATCATAATAATAAACTTATTCGAATGGATTTCCATCATATCCCATCAACTTTATGAGCTGGCCCAACCAAAATAAAGGCTGATTGATGGTGTGTGGACCAACTTCGATCTATCATATATTCATATTAACACTCATTGATACGACACAGATATATTATCTGATTGGATAATAGTTGTTGTACCATCTTTTCTTGGAAAGTAGTGACTTACCAACATTTCTCGAATAGGTCTGATTCAAGACGCCCTTAGATGCCTTTCAGGACAACCCGAAGGTTTGACAGGTGTTTGTGAAATTCAATCAAAGAAATATCAATGGAATGGGGATTCAATCAATATGCTATTGCCCAATAGATGCTCCCTCATTTGAGTAACCAATGGTCGATCAAATGAGGGTAAATGAGGGAACTGATGAATAAGGTAACTTATAAATAATACCATGGTGTGAGTGATATTATTATTCCAAACAACAAATAATACTAATATTTTGATAAATATGAATACAATAAAAATAATAATATTTCTTTGTGGTGTCATTCTATCCTTGAATGTGGCTGAAGGTATGTATCCACACACTCACTCAATTAATCAATCATACACACAAATACTCACAACAAATAATAGCCACACATTTTAGATATGGACTACTCACTTGGAAGACCATATCTAATACGTCCACTGTACAATTCTCATTGAAGTGTGCATTCCGTAATAGCTACTTCTCAACTGTCAATGGTGTAAATCTAAAGGTTGGTGATACTTTTAGTTATGGTGAAGTGACTATTGTTGATAGCAATCTATTTAGTTTCCTTGAAACCATGCCTACCAACTTCCTGGTGAACAATATTGATTTGGTTCAAGATATTGTATATGCCGAGAACGTCTTCACCATGAAGTGGCCCAATAGTATTTGGAGCAACTACATCGTCTACTATGAGGATGGTGATCGTTTGGCCGAATTGAACAACAATGCTAACAGTAAGTATTCATTCTTTCAATCACTGGAAATACCCCAGCCTAACTCACTCATTCCTCCAAGATCCATGGCATATTGAGACTTCTGTACCAATGTTGAGTGCCAACTGGACCAAGGGATTGCACAGCTCGCCCGTCTCCAGTATGATGCCAATGATTGATGTGTACATGGGAAGGACCAACACTTTCAAGATACCAGTGATCGATTCCGAGAACTCAGCATTCACATATGCCTTGTCCACATTGATTGAGTCACATCCACCAGGATTCTCAATCAATGCTTCTGGAGTGTGTACCTACACGCCCACTCAAACTGGACTCTGGTCCACTCAGATCAAGATTGGAAAGACCAATCCGATCAACACTTTCATCCATCTTGACTTCCTGATCCGTGTATCCCAACCACCTGCACCCACTGCCACCCCACCTTTCCTTGTCGCTCCAACTCCACTCCAAGGCCAGACCATCACTGTTGAGGAGGGTTCGACGCTCAATGTTGTAATCAGAGGCCAGACCATCATGCCTGCCACCAGTGTCAATATCATGATTGGTGAGGTACCCTTGGGAATGAACGTGTCGAGCCAGACCAACACTCCACAGACTGTCAGTGGCAGCACAGGCACTGTCACACTTTCCTGGAAGCCAACATCATCCAAGGTCGGTGTCTACGTCATAAACATCGGCCTAACTGACAGCAAAGGTTTGACAATGACCGAGGGAGTCCATTATTTCTACATAAATGTTACTTCATCAACTTGTAACCCAGGCCCATGTGTCTGTCCCGTTGCCCCTGGCCAACTCTGTGATGATGGCAACTCTTGTACCATTGACACTTGCAAAGGACCATATCCAATCACCCTGGACAAATGCACTCACACACAAATCACATGCGCTGCTCAATCAGCTGCCGACCCATGCTTTTCATGGAGGTGTATGAACGGAACATGTGCCAGAGACATCTCCAGTCCAAAGACATGCCCATCCAAGAGCTGCCAGACATCGATGTGTGACTCCAACCAAGGTGGATGCATCTACCAGTCATTATGCCAATCCACTCCATGCATGAACTCTGTCTGTGGCCCCAATAACCAGACATGTATCAACTCTCCAGTCAACTGCAATGGCAACGACCAGTGTCTCCTCTACTCTTGTGATGCTGCCCTCGGTTGTGTCTCCAAGCCAAAGAGCTGTGTGCCAGCCTCCCCCCAAACCATGCACAGCCTACACCTGTGACTCACTCACTGGATGCCATGCCAGAAACCTGACCAGCACTGAGTGTGCATGCTGCGACCCAAGTGCCAACACCAACAAGTGCAAGATAGCCACTTGCAACACCGCCACTGGTATATGTGACTACACTGACGTTGCCATTGATGATGGCAATGCATGCACCATTGATGCTTGTGACCCAGTCTCGGGCAACATCACCCACACCTATGTGTCCATCGACGACTCCAATCCATGCACCATCGACACTTGCAACACTACGACTGGACTCATCTCACACACTAATGTCTCCATCGACGACTCCAATCCATGCACCATCGACACTTGCAACATTACCACCGGTGAGATCACACATGTACCAATCTCCATTGATGACTCCAATGCTTGTACCATTGACTCCTGCAACATAACCACTGGTGAGATTACTCATATTGAAGTTGTGATCGATGACTCCAACGCCTGTACCATCGACACCTGCGACATCGTCACTGGCATAATCCTTCACACTGATGTAGTGATTGATGACTCCAACGCATGCACCATCGACTCATGTGACCTAGCCACTGGCATCATCTCACACTCCAATGTATCCATCGACGACTCCAACGCTTGCACCATCGACTCATGTGACATCGTTTCTGGAGTGATCACTCACACTGATGTTGTGGTTGACGATTCCAATGCCTGCACCATTGATTTCTGTGATGTCATAACCGGTGTGATCACTCATACTGATGTCTACATCGACGACTCTAATGCCTGTACAATTGATACTTGTAACACTTCCACTGGAGTGATCACTCACACTGATGTTTTGATCGACGATTCCAACGCATGCACAATCGATACTTGTGATCCAATAAGTGGATTGATCACTCACACTAACGTTTCCACTGACGACTCCAACGCTTGCACCGTCGATACCTGTGATCCAGCCTCTGGATTGATCACTCACTCTGCCGTCTCCATTGATGACTCGAACTCCTGTACCATCGACTCTTGTGATATTGCCACTGGTATCATCTCGCACACCAATGTATCCATCGACGACTCGAACGCTTGCACCATCGACAGTTGTGATCCTGCATCTGGATTGATTACTCACACTGACGTATCAATTGACGACTCCAATTCCTGCACCATCGACACATGCGACCCTGCCACTGGTATCATCACTCACACTGATGTATTGATTGACGACTCCAACGCTTGCACCATCGACACATGCAACTCAACCTCAGGATTGATCACTCACACTGATGTCCTGATTGATGACTCCAATGCCTGCACCATCGACACATGTGACGTTGTTACCGGTGTGATCTCTCACACTGACGTTGTCATTGACGACTCGAACGCTTGCACCATCGACTCGTGTGACATCACCACTGGAATCATCACTCACACTGATGTCTCCATCGATGACCTCAACGCCTGCACTATAGATTACTGCAACCCATCCACTGGTATCATCACTCTTACAGACGTAGTGATCAGTGACAACAATGCCTGCACCATTGACCTCTGCAACACAACCACTGGTGAGATCACTCACACTGATGTTATGATCAGTGACAACCAAGCATGCACCATCGACTCTTGCAACCCAGCAACTGGAGTGATCACACATATTGCCAAGCAATGCTCTGGTTGTCAGACCTGCCAGTCATCGACCGGACTCTGTCTGGACACATCCAACCAGTGCACTGGTGGCAACGCTTGTCAGATTGGCACCTGCACCAACGCCACCTGTTCATACACCGCCAACAAGTGTGACGACGGAGACAGTTGCACCAAGGACACATGCAGTCTCAGCAAGGGATGCATCCACACACCTATCACTTGCCAGTATGAAGGCAAGGACGTGTGCAGGTTTTCTATATGCAGGAACGGCACATGTGTCATGGAGAACACCAACTGTGACGATGGCAATCCCAGCACTTGCGACTCCTGCCACCATGTCCATGGATGTCGCCACACGAACTGTGATGACAATAACAAGTGCACCATCGACCTATGTTCAGCATCAAGTGGCAAGTGCACACACACACCAATCAACTGTGATGACAACGACGCCACCACCTACGATTACTGCTCACCAACCAATGGCGCCTGTGTCCACACTCCATGCAAGGGTAAACAATGCGGTGGAAATGATACTGACACTGATACTGATACCGACAATGACAATGGAAAAGACAACTAATAATTGATTAATAAATATTTATGTATTCAATATCCACTGGTGGATATTCACTTAATAATAATTCTCTTATTTGTTGGCGGTCAAGATGCACAGCAAAGGAACATCACTCCTACACATCGAGGAGTTAATCAGCATCGAAGTGCCGCTTAGGTCACTCAGGCTCACTGCTCCTTACTATGAATACAATAGCGAGAACACTGGACTGACGATCGAGGAGCGCCATCTTCGGTCGTTCAACAACGTAGAGCAACTGGATAATTGATGGATGGTTGAGAATGGCAGGCATGATCCTCTCCTTGATTCTTTCGGCACCATCATGACTCAAGTCCAGGAGATCACTTAACTACCAAGGGTTCTAATACCAATATTGTCCTCATCGATCATTTCGTAAGGACATCGACGTCGACGCTGGAGGACATAATAACTAATACGTTCGTATCATCTGGATTCGAAGATGTCGATACCTTCGTGGCCATTCATCATACGGTGGATGTCAGTCGCACGACATCACCGGCGGCAATTATATATCGTCGAAACAATGTTATCACGTCGACTTCATGTGACTCACTATCATCTGATCCATGGAGCATTCATTGATTTATATGATTATTATTTGTTTGACCAACAACAAGTACTATCTGTTGTGTTGTGAATGTGGTTGAGCTAAATGAATGAATGAACATGGGATCATTTTAACAAGTCGCAAGCCATTGACAAAACAGATAATAATAATAAATAAGATATATATCCTATGTCAACACATAACAACAACAATAACAATGATAATAATAATAATAGGATAAAGACAACGTCTGTCGCGACGAGGCCGACAACGACTTCCCCGTCATCAACCTCTACACCGACATCTGCATCAACATCGACATTAGAAGCAGCTGCAACACCTGGCGGCGCGAGATATATTGACAAGGTGGATGTACAAACAGCAAAGAGATACAGTGATATACTGAGTCAGATACAGGCGTCGAAACGCCCTTCGACAAACATCGTCAGGGTCAGCCAACTCGATTCAATGAAGCTCGACGAAGAGATCCTAGAGCTACTCAAGTCACAGTTCATGAGGATATTCATGTTCTTTAGAGTATGTATCATATGATTGATTGATTGATTGATTGAATGAATGAATGAATCATTGAATGACTGACGCGACATGAGTAGCCAACATTTGTACAGAACTTCCAACCAGAGATCAACTTGATACTCAAGTCAGTGATATTCAAGTTGTCTATATTCAATCTTGGCACTACATATGGCAATCAGTTGCAGAACTTGACGTTTAGGAATGAAAGAGCTTTTGATGCGACCAAGGGCTCGGACTATATATCGCGACTGACACTCCAACAGAAGTGGCTGTCGGGTCTGGTCAACATTGGTGGCGAGTGGGCATGGGCGAGGATCAATCGAAAGGCGGCGAATGAGGCGTGGGGCGATCTGCCCGACGACAGTCTAAAGAAGCGAGTGTGGCGCATACTCAATCACCTGGAAACAGTGTACAAACTACTGTCCATCCTCAACTTCCTGGCCTTCCTATTTGACGGCAAGTACGTCACACTAGTCAACCGTATCCTGTGCATGCGACTAGTCTACGCCCAGCCCTCACTCAGTCGGCGCATCTCATTCGAGTACATGAACAGGCAACTCGTGTGGCATGGATTCACCGTAACGTATCGCTCGCTCAATCACCAAAGTGGATCGCTCGCCCAAGTACTAACCCATACTCACTCACATACTCCAGGAGTTCTTCTTGTTCATCATGCCATTGATCAACATTGACAGGATAAAGGGATTCATTTACAGGACATTCATTCAGAAGCCAAGCAACATGTTCCAACAACAGAACAGGTCGCAGCAGGGAGAGGACGCAGCATTGGCGCCACAACTGCTTGCCCCACTGGTGTTGGAGAAATGTCCGATATGCTTCAACGACCCTATATCGGTGCCCTACATCACCGACTGCGGTCATCTGTTCTGCTATTACTGTATAAAGACCAACTGTATGATAGACCCTACGTTCACATGTCCGCGCTGCAACTCTATCGTCTCCAACATGAAGCGATTCACCCCCTTTGCTGAGCCATCCTCCAACACGTCATCTCCGCGTCTGGCCGCCAATGGGAATGGGAACAATCAATAAACCGTCTGTCCGTTATATGTATATATCTATATGAGCTTTGTTGTATTGTTGTTATCGTTGTAGCCCGCAATCGCGCACGATTGTTTGATTGATTGATTGATTGTGTCCATGATCCATGTCCATTGTCATCGTCTATCTTGCTTGTTTGATTGATTGATTGATTGTTGCTGATTGTCCAGCATGTCCATCCATCCATCCATTCATTCATTCGCACACCATGCATGTACTACTACTACTACGTTGATGTTACTCGAGCTCATCTATTATATATAGAGGGGTGTGCTCTACACCAACACTCTATAGTTGATCCTGCTGGGAGATCTTGGCAAAGCACTCAGTCAAGACCATGGCGAAACGCTCGTTCTTCTCGATACACTTGTAGACGCAGAGTTCCTCATCATTGTCCAGCTTTCTAATTCTGAAGTTGTTGATGCATGCCTCGAAGCAATGGTTGGTGATCTGGAATGTTGTGTTCATAACCTCCTCCATCTGCATCTTGTTCAACTGTCTCATAAACCTGTCCTCCTCCTTCTTTGAAAACTTCTTCTCCATCTTTATGATTGATATTGTTTATATATATGTATATATGTATATGAGTTGTTGATGTGTAATGTAATGAATATGAGCTTGCAATGAATAAACCAACTCATTCAATAATGCACATCACTCGATTCGCTCGACTTTGAGTCATTTCATTTATTTTCGAAAAGTGACATAAATTCTGTGTCACAAGTGAGTTTCGCGCGAAGTTAGTCTGCGAGGGTGTGTCTGTGAGGGTATCACTTCAGCTCATGTATCAACCTCATACTCATATACTCCTTCTTGATCATCAATGCTAACTCCTATATATGTACAACAACATAATATGAGTCAATAAACTTTAATCAATCAAATTATCACATGGACAAACATACCTCGGGATCTTTGTACTCGGACCAATTGACTCGGATGACAGCGATATACTTTGAGATGTCTTTGATGAACTCTTGATAGGCCTTGTCTAGGTTGATTAGGTATTCGAGTGTGATGGTCTTCTCACATTCACGATTCCTTTGTTGAATGCGCTTGAGTGATTCCTCTGGTGTGACATCAAGATGTATGATCAGATTGGGTATCTTCATAAAGTTGGACAGACTGGTGAACATTGAGCAGTATGTCTCGTACTCCCTTTTCTCCATCATGCCAGCCTCCATCAACATCTTTGCAAATACGCTATCCTCGTATATCGTCCTGTCCTGCACACCACCCTTGCCCTGCCATATGATCTGTTGTTGTTGTCTAAAACGTTGATTCAACAAGTATATCTGTAGTGGAAAGCTATACTTCTTTGGATCCGTATAGAAGTCTGCCAAGTAACTATTATCTATAACACCTTCAAACTGATTGATTGAGGGTATCAGCATCATCATGATGTGGACCATGAGTGGATGATCAATGATCAATCAATCATACATATGTTGGAAGATTGAGCACTTTGCCAAGTGCTGTACATAGTGTTGTCTTGCCAGCGCCAATAAGTCCACTGATTCCAATGTATAAACCTTGTAAATCATTACTTTGTTTGAATAGTGCACCATTGACCAATGGTGAATGATTGGGACTTGGACTATCGTTATTACTCATATCTATATCTATATATTTATATGTTGTTTATTTGTTTATTATTTGTATGATGATTGGAGTTTGGGTCTAATCAAAGACCCTTCACCATGACCTCTGGACCTTTGAAAGGGTCCACAAACACGACCCTTTCAATCATTTTGTTGTTGTGTGTCTCTTTGACAATCTCGATCACATTATTCATTCATACATACATTCACTCATTCATTCCTAATCAGTACTTGTTATAATACAGATATATCTAACATCATTCATTCATGTGTAAATGAAACAGATATTAACATTGAGTGTCATACAATGGGGGTGTGTGTATATATAAGGATCAAGATATACGAACACACACTCACACACATACACCCACTCGACCACAGATATATCTCGATTGTAAGATGGTGGTGAATATGAGGTGAGTCCAATCGATGGACAGACAGACGACAAAGATATCGATGGTATGTAGTCTACCTCACAGTCTCAATATCTCTATCTCTATCACTGTCAACTCCACTCAGTCATTGTCATTATTACAATTTGTATTCTATTCACTCATATTCAACAACATCATCCTACCATTCAATAATAATAATAATAATAATAATAATAATAATAATAACATAATAATATAATCACAATAATAATAATAATAATAATGTCTACACCTACCCTTGAATCAAGTGTTGTTGATATACCCGTGCCAAATTTTGACTCGATGAGTATAAATACACCTATACCAGGTCCATCGCGTACCAGTGACAAGGCATTGTTCGACATCATCTCTAATGTGGGCAATATCACCGGTCTTGCCGTACTGGATCGCAAGGGACGTCTGCTGGCCGGCAACCTAAATGTCGAGCACTCACAATTCAAAGTGATCAAACAGTTGTTCAAAATCAAGAAGGCGTCACCAATCAAGAATCGCCAGATCACGCTTGGCTCAACAGTCTACGGCGTGATCGACCACAACAAGATGGCCATCCACTTCTCCACCGTCCCCCCAGAGTTGCTCAACGAGGAGTTGACCATGAAGGAGATATTCTTCAGTTGTATCAGCAGTATTAAGAGTCTGACTGGCAAGGGCGATGTCAATGGCTCGTCGCGAAGAATGAACAGCCAGGGTTACATCAAGTCATATCATCCAATGCACACTCAAATGGCAACCGAGCACACCAGTGTCAGTGGTAACAGTTTGATGTCGGACGATGATGAGTTCACCGAGCCACAACATAGTTGTTTGTTGATCGAGAGATGTGGCAATAATTACATCTTGGGAGAGAATACAAAGTTGGACAATCGCGATACCCTGCTCCAACAAATACGTGACAGTTTCGAGGTGATCAGTAACTTTGCCACAGACATCCGTAATGCAACTATAACCGATATGTAATCATTCAATTAATTGGATACTGGAATTATTCCATTCCCTTCCTATTTGGGATGACACTTGTCGAAGTTCAAAAGTTTGCAAATAATAAATGAGAAGGGGATTCAATTCAAAGTGGGTGGTATGTGGGTTCGTGAGCTCAAATTGAACTTGACACAACTTGTCACTTCTTCAGCTTCATCTAGCATAAGGTCACATCTTCATTATCAATCAATCATATATAACGACAGTAATAAATATATAGTAATGTCACACGCAGTCTCAAACTCTATACCTGTTGTTGGTGCGACTGCTGCTGGTGTAGGAGTTACCAACAACAACAATAACAACAGCAACAATAATAACAACAATATCTCGAGCACAGTAGCAGCAGGTGTCAACAACAATGGCAACAACAACAATAATAGTAGTACACCAAACTCATCATCATCTTCATCATCAGATGTAATGAATCCTATAAAGACATTTGAACATTTGTTGAGGAAGTCACAGTCATTGTTTGTTGGTCTTCGCGATCTTCCACAGTTTGGTAGACAGTGGCAGCCATTCTTTCAAAAGACCTTTGAGCTCTATACAAAGGTATTGTTATTGTTATCGTGCTCCAAGTCTCATCACGTTGTTAACATTCATTCGATCATTCAATCAAATATAGTTGTGGAAACATCAACAACAATATCGATCATTGTTGGAGACAGACAAATATGGACTTAAAAGATGTGAGATAGGAGAGATAGCATCAAAGATTGGTCAACTCTATTATCACTATTAGTATGTGTAACATTGATCAATCAAACAATCAATCGACCAATCATACTTACACCGTACGCCACTCAAACAAACTATCAAGTCTAAGAACAAGTGACACAAGCTATCTACATGAATCCTACATATTCTACGAAGCCATTAGGTTGAGATCATACTTTAAGGACGTGTCTGTTGATGCCAAGATGTCGGACATGATGGTCAAGCAACTGCGATACTATGCCAGATTCATCGTGGTGTGCTTGTTGCTCAACAAGAAGAAGGTGGTGTACGATCTTGTCGAAGAGCTGTTTAAGCACATCAAGGACTACACCAAGACACACAAGCCAAACGATGCCCACGAGTGGTCTCTGGTGATCCAGGAGATCTTCACATTTTTGCAGGCCGACCAATGTGTATCATTCTCTGACAGCAATGGCCCTATGCAGGTGTCGCATCGTCTCAACCCACATCAGGGCACTCTGCCCTCGCCCTGTGAGCCATCCTCCATCCTCCAACAGGCCATCCTCGTTGGTAACCATCACAACCAGATCAAGTTCAGTGAGATCACTCTCGACATGTTTAGAATGACTCAATCACTCGAGTATGACACTCCAGAGCTTAAGGTAATGAATGATTGAATGATTGATTGATCACTCTTTTTTGGACTTCCAAGAGTACTGACACCCAACCATACTACTGTAGGACCCATCCGACAAGCAGGATAGCAAGTCTGGTGACAACTCTTCATCATCATCATCTGGCGCATCATCGTCATCCTCGTCACTGTTGATCTCGCCAAGCTCAAGCAAGAAGAAGAACCCTCACAAGTATCTACTGTACAGGCCAACCATATCACAGCTGTTGCTCTTCCTTTCAAACACGATCAAGGAGTTGGGTGACAACAAGGCCCTGCTGCTCTATCTCTCTGTCGATGGTATCAAGAATGGAACCAACAACACCACATCCACCACAACCACAACAACGACAACTGATCGCTTCAATGGAGGCTACTCTGGTGGACTATTGATGAATGGTGGAGGACAGAAGCCACAACCACAAGCACCACAACCACAGACTCAACAACAACAACAACAGAATGGAAACAACAACAACAACAACAACAACAACAGTAGCACGATCAATGACAATGTAAAGTCTGATGCGCTATATCCATTCGATCTCTTGCCATACTGCAGGAAGCCATTCTTCTTGATTATCGATTCCAAAAGCAGTCAGATTTTCAAAGACTTCCAGCCACCATTCGATCAACCGTTCGTCTCGTTGCTGTCTCCTCTGTCAACCCCGAAGAGTATGTATCACCATCAATCAATCAATCATCCATCACCTCACTCACTAACTCATTCATTCATACATCTCCACAACTCTCCAGAAATTGTGAGCAATGGTAAGAGGACAGCACCATTTGGCAATCTGTTCACGTTCTTCCTACATGATCCACTGTGCGCCTTTTGTGATACGACCGCCTGTAACAAGATATCCTCTAAATCACTGTCCAACTACCAGTCCATCGTACAGAGTGCGATGAACGCCATAACCAAGACACTGTTTGACAACGTGACATCATTGCCACCCTCCTTTGCCTTCTTCCTGAACGACGACTTCTTGCGTTCGTTCATCGTACGTTTCATATTCTGCCATGCCGTCTTCCATCTTCACAAGGACTTCCAAGAGAATGTAAGTTCTACCAACCTTCACTGCACGCCCATTCATTCAATCACTTACTGACATCAATGCAATACACGGTAGATATACCAAGTTTCGAGTAGCCCAGCGATACCTCAATCGATACTTACACATAGGACTGTGTTGAACACGGTCAATCAGCTGGCGGTGGCACTGAATGTCACAGATCAATTCAATGACTTGCCAACAGATGAGCTCCAAAGCTTGTCCATTGAGCAATAAACAAACATCAGCCTCATGAGGCAACACGAAACAGGTACCCTTGGGGAGGGAGATGGACTGGAATGGCTTTATTATTGATTGATTGTCAAGTCCTTCAGTAGGACTTGGGCTTGGTCTTGGGCAATATTTTGGAACTGCTTGGCCTTCCTCAACTCCTTCTTCTTCTTGAGGTACATCTTGCCCAGACACTGGATGGTCACGTTGGTTGGGTATTTGAACTTGAGTTGAGGAGTGAATACAACGAGGTCCATGTAGGCACCGAGCAGAACGGCTCGCAATATCATTGCATAGCAATTGGACTTTATCAACTGCTCCAGTTTCTCCTTGAATACATTGTCCAGGACATCGCTGCAGAACATTGACTTGGACTCCTCAAAGAACTCATCCATTTGCCTCAACTTGTTGAACAGGAGGTCAAACACTTCGACTCTATTGTTCACGATTGCTACATTGATGGGCTCGAGGTTATTGATGAATTGGCCAATGCACATCTTGAGAATGGAGACATGACCATAGTGGACAAAGGATGGTTCCAGCTTGGGCAGCTTAAGACCATGCTTCCTGAGAATGTGGCGCAGTAACTCATCGCTACCATGAATAAAGAAGGTCTTCAGCGTCTCGGGCTCGAAGAAAAGCTCTTCAATCTTGCTGGGCTTCAAGCCCAGCTTGTCAACGATCAGATCATATGTCTTGATATTGTTCAACTTGGCAATCAGTTCGGTGTCCTGTCTCATCAGGAACTTGCGTCGCTCCAACATGAATCCAATGCTGCTCGGATGTCCACCCACAATGGCGTGTTGCATGTTGTGATTGTTGGAGTCCGACGTTTTTGGAGTGAGCCTCAAAACATCGAGGCATCCAAAGCGTGCAGCCCACTCACCAAGAAGGCAGTCATGTCGACCAGTTGGATTCTTGAGCAGATACTTGATGGTGTTGTGATCAGATATGTAGGTTGTTTTGAAGATCTTCAATGAGTGGCCCAGTTCAAACACGGCATCGGACAACATCAATTGGTTCGGGTTGATGGTTGTGAACCTAAAGTCATTAGAGGCACGGATTGGCTTTTGGAATGTGTGGACGATCAACTCGACCACCTCATGAGGTGAGTTGATCAGCGACTGAAGTAGTCTATACACTACTATAGTGTCTATCTTGGCGCGTGCCTCCAAATGTTTGATGGCGAGCTTGAGTTGACTCATCTCTCCAAAGCGAACCAAAGTGTAGAATTGATCATGCATCGATGAGCCATCAGTGCGTCCACGTTGTATGTATTCGAGTATGTAGGGTATCAACACTAAAGTGCCAGTCTTGATAATCCTGACCATTGTCGAACTATATACATCCACCCTCAAGTTATTAATAGCCAACTGCTCCAGTATTACAATATCGAGGTATGTTGGAGTGTTGATGTCCATCTCGACAGGGCCTAGATCGCACTCTGGAACACCATAAGTGATACATCGACGCCTTGATTCAGCATACTTTGATTGGATCAGTGGCTCCATGGGTGCGAGGTCGAGGTCAATGCAAGCCTTGATCAACGACTCAAATGTGGTGTAGGTGAAATGATAGCCAGAGGAATCGACAACAGCGTGATAATGCTGGGTCCAGTCATGGTTCGACTTGAGCTTGGGCAAGAGATTGGCGGGGACGAGGCGATCAATCAACTCGGTGTCATCTGTCATGTATAGGATCTCGGGATTGGCTGCGGCCCACTCCACCATGATGTTGGCAAACTCTGGATGCGCCATTTGACGCACGGCACTAAACATCTTGATATCCTTGATGAGCAGAGAGTTGACCCTGCCAATCATCACTGCCTTGGTGTTCTGGAACAAACTCTTGTCGCACAGTGGCTCGCCATCCTCGTCCTTGACGTTGTTCAAAAGGTAGAAGTACATTGAGTACTGACGACATACCCAGGCCTCTTGAAGGAGCAGGTCAGAGTACTTGTACTCCTTGATGTTGGGGGTGTAGCTGTGGCGCGTCCTTTGGAAGCGGATGGGGAAGGTCTGTTCCGCCAGTGTCTTGACAATCTCGATCGATCCACTCCTCACAGCGTATGCCAGCAGTTGATGATTGATAAAGTAGTTGCGCTTGGCTTTGTACAGTGCGTTGAACACATGAACGTCGGTGCAAGTTTGTAGGAACTTGTGTATACTGGAATCGTCCACGACCAGATCTAGGCCAAGCCGCAGTCGATCAATGATAAGACCAAAATGTCTACCTTCGATTATTGCCGACAATGTATTCCATTGATTATACTTTGTACGCCAATCCTTATCCAATGTAGAAGTACAAACTAATTGCCAAATATAAGATGGTAACGATTGTATAATATTACGTAATAGATATCTATTTGTTAAGACTGAATGTATCACCTGGAACTTGTATTTGTCTTTGTCTTTGATGAGTTGGTGATCATCAGTGGATGACACCAGTGAGTGATCGACCATTATGTATTTGTTTGATTGATTGTAAAGTATGAATGAATAAATGAATGAGAGAAAGTTGACCTCAAAGTTGTCAAACCCCTTCATTTCTTCAGATCTTCCTTTTTCCAACTTTCCGTTGTTGATCATCATCAACTTGCATATTCAAATCTTCAAAGAGAAATCAACAACATCAACATTGTAATATATATGAAGATGACAGTGGAACAACCTGAAGCGAATGTCCATGTGGCATTGACACATTTGGAGTTGACAACAGTACATTATGATATGAACGATCCTCAAGGTTTGATCTGGGCGTACATCACTCTGATACCACTGATCATTGTAGTATCCGTTGCAACTCTTGTCATATTCAAGTGAGTGAATGAATGATGGATGATGCAATGAATGAATGAAAGTTGGTGGCTAACACAATCCACACTCGACACAAACACAACACAGACGTGACTTGCGAACTGGCTCACTACTTGGAGGACTCCTAGTGAGTGAAGCGATAAACTATGTGCTGAAGAAGTCGATCAAGGAGGGAAGACCAACTCATATCCGTATGTAAACTACTTTGTTGACTAGTATCCATGTGTCAAGCAGTAGACTAATGATTGAATGAATAGAACAATTGAGAAAGAAGAGTTATGGAATGCCTTCGGATCATGCACAGTTTATGTTCTTCTTTGCATTGTTGGTGACGATGTTCATGGTGAAGAATAAGACAAAGATATGCAAACACATCAAGAGAGTACTAATTGTAGTTCTGTTCACATTGGCCTTGGCTGTAGCCTACTCAAGGTATGTTGTCAAAATGACTGACTCACAGTGTCAAAGTCACTAACCAAGACGCATTCGTTGTATAGGGTTCATCTTGGATATCATACTGATAGACAGGTAGCTTATGGTTCAGTTATTGGTATGACATTGGCGATGATATGGTACGGAGTGACTGAGTATATATTTGTACCTTTCATATTCCCTTTGTTGGCTGATTCACCAATTGGTCGATACTTCTATCTGAGGGACACGACCTTGATCCCCAATCTTATGCAGTTCGAGTACAACAATTCCCTAAAAGAGATCAGTAGACTAAAGCAACAAGGATCATCATCACAGTCTCCAAATCAACAAAAGAAGAAGATGTAATAGCCATAAAGAATGAATGACATGCGAAGTGCACTGCAGTGTTATTCTGACAGTGTCAGAGGAAGGAAGGAAAGAGGAAAGGTAGTATGAATGCTCCTTTAGTGTGTCGCGCCACGAATATTTGATCCTTCCTTTCTTCAAACATCTGCATGGTTCTAACTTCCAACCACCAACACTTCTTTATCCATTATCCACTTTGTTGGCGGCAGAATTATTGACATGCAGCCACGACAACACCTTGTGTATCCTCAAACAAAGCACACACACACAAACTCAATTCATTAGTGAGCAGGGCTTCAGATAATGAATACGAAGTGTCTTATTGTGTGGTTCAACCCCACAACACATAAAGATCAATTACCATAATTGGAAAAAAGTTGACCATCCAAGACAAGTGGGCCAATGTTGGTCCGCACATTCATCTAGATTAATTATCCTGTGTGAGTGAGGTTATTATTAGAATGGGGGTTGGGGGGAAGTCCTTACCCCTTGAACTTCTGCTTTCGGAATAATGAAGGTAGTTATTGACAACCTTACTCTTTATGTTAAGTATTAGTGTGTGTGTAGGTGTATGAGTGTATGTATCAACTCATTCCTCAATCCATTTGGCGCGTAGGTTGATGGTCTTGGTCAAGGTCGGAAGGATGGATGTAAAGAAGTAAGTAAAGAGTGAGTCAGCTGAAGGGGGGTTGGGCGATGAGAGAGTGTAGTGATCAAAGATGGAAGTGGATAGTTGACAAGTTAACTCCCCAGTCACATCCACACACTCAATTCGAAAGGTATAAATAAGACTCCTGGAGTGGACAAATGATTAATCATTCAACTTAATTGATATCCCTACCTACCTAAATACCCTTTGTCAAACAAACAAATACTAATATTGTTCATGAACAATAATAATCAAAGATTACATTTACAATTACATCTTCAACAATTACCTCAACGATAAAACTAAACAATATGAATAGAATTGGAAAGTTATTGAGAAGTGCGGTCCTGCCTTCATCTTCAGTTGTCAATCACACTGTCAGCTGTACCAAGACCATCGCCGCCACCCCCTCCCGAGCATTCATGTCATGGAATGGTATGGAGTTCCTCCAAAGTCATGCCAAGTATGTATACCCATTTCTTACCTTATATTTTGTAATACAAATACTAATATAAATATTTAAACTCACATAATAGTTTGAGCGCTGCAGCAATGGTTCACCAACAATGCTTTGACACTCCAAGGAATGTCGAGCAAATGTTGATTGACGAGGTCGGTGACGGACAGGGCGATCCAGCCCTCAACCCATCACCATCATAACTTGTAATGTCAATCCCATCCATGATTGTATTCTTACATACCCTTATCGTTTATTCCATCTATAAATAATAAACACAATGATGTGCCTCTTTGATGAGCTGACTCGTCAATTGTTCAATTTTCAAAAGTAGAATTAATTCTCTCTATGTGTTAGAAAGTTGTGATATTCGAGAACTTCATGCATTCATTCCTTCATTCATTCAAGTATTACTTGTATAACATAATATAGATATATATATATAATGGATGGAGATTTAAAGAGAAAGAGACCATCCAATGAGAGAGATGATAGTGGAAGATCATCACAACAACGTAGGAGTTCAGATAGGGATAGAGATCAAAGAGAAAGAGAGTTGAGAGATAGGGATAGAGATAGAGAAAGAGATAATAGAGACTATAGAGATAATAGAGATAATAGAGGTGATTATAGAGGTGATAGAAGAGACTATAGAGATAATAGAGACAATAGAGATTATAGAGATAATAGAGATAATAGAGATTATAGACCTGATCCTAGAGATGGTGGTAGAGGTGAATACCCTCGAGGCGACCCAAGAGATAACAGAGATTATAGAGACAACAGAGATAGAGAGTATCCAAGAGATGGTGGTCGAGACATAAGAGATAACAGAGGATCTGCTGGAAGAGAATATAGAGACAGGGAAGAATATGATCGCCAGAGAGTTGTCCCTCTGAGGGAGTCACCACCTCCAAGTCACATTCAAACAACTCCGCCACTACATCCACATTATCCGCCACACGTAACATCACATACTCCGCCACATGTACCACACGTTCAACATCAGCCATATTCTCATCAATCCCAAACTCCGCCACACATACCGCCACACATACCGCCACATGTACCGCCACATGCACCTCAACACGTCAATCCACATGCTTATCCACAGACACCTACTCATGCATATCTACAGACACCTAGTCCTCCACCTCCAGCACCAACAGTGCCAACGGTCGATGAGGAGCTACTAAAGAAACAACGAGAGGAGGAGAGAATGAAGGAACAGGAGAGATTGGATGAGGATATGAGGAAGCGAAGAGAAAAGGTGGAGAGGTGGAGGAAGGAGAAGGAGGAGCAAGAGAAGCAAGCATTGGCCGCTGCAGGAGCAGAACAGGCCAGTCAGGATGTCGAGGCAGTGGCTTCCAACGCTGCTGATCATAAATGGAGTCTGGACGATGACGAGGAAGAGAAGGATAAGGATCAAAATCAGGATGGCGATCAGGAGAAGGAAAAGGATACAGAGATGAAGCCAGCGCAAATAGATGAAGAGAAGAAGGAGGCAAAGACTGACGCCCCCGCACCGACAACAGACGCGATGATGGCAAAGGAGACAGCACCACAAGCATCAGAACAAGTCGAAGATGATGAAGAGGATCCATTGGACGCCTTCATGAACCAAATGCTAAGCAAGGAACAGAAGAAGCAGCAACAACAACAAGAGCAACAACAGAAAGCCACGAGTAGCATTTCGACAAATGGTGCATCAAACTCATCTGCCGCGGCCAACAGTGGTGCCGGAGGTAGTGGCATCAAGGCAGTGCGACTTGAGGATGGCGAGGAGGCAGCCCAAGCGATGGAAGAGGAGTCCGACGACGAGAGCGACAAGTTGAAAGAGGTGAAGAAGGGTAAGCGTGAACTCCTCAGCACCGACCATGCCAAGATGGACTACCCTGACTTTGAGAAGAACTTTTACATCGAGGTACCCTCACTGGCCAACATGACCGACACCGAAGTTATCGACGCACGCTACGAGATGGGCATCAAGATCGCCGGCAAGAACTGTCCCAAGCCCATCCAGACCTGGTCGCAGTGTGGACTGCCTGAGAAGATGTAAGTACAAGCGATCAAAATCATTGATTAACTCATCAAGAACATCACTAATGTTACAATGTTTGTCCCCCTCATCCATCATCACCAACAATATAGTCATCAACTACTTAAGACTCACAAGTATGAGAAACCAACTTCGATTCAGGCACAGACGATACCCGCCATTATGAGCGGTCGCGATGTGATTGGAATTGCCAGGACTGGCTCGGGCAAGACACTGGCCTTCCTTTTGCCAATGTTCCGTCATGTGCTGGCGCAGGAGAAGCCAAAGGCGGGCGAGGGCATGGTTGGCCTGATCATGTCGCCAACACGTGAGCTTGCGCTACAGATCTACTCTGAGTGCAAGAAGTTCTCCAAGGTGCTTGGTCTGCGCGTCAGCTGTGTCTATGGTGGTGCCAACATTGGTGAACAGATCTCGGATCTCAAGCGTGGCGCAGACATTGTCGTCTGCACACCTGGTCGCATGATCGATATCCTGTGCGCCAACAACAAGCGTATCACCAATCTTCGTCGTGTAAGCTTCGTCGTACTCGACGAGGCCGACAGAATGTTCGACCTGGGCTTTGGCCCACAGATCACGTGCGTAATCGACAATGTGCGACCTGATCGCCAGACAGTCATGTTCTCTGCGACATTCCCATTCAAGGTGGAGCAGGTGGCACGCAAGATCCTTACAAAGCCACTGGAGATCATTTGTGGCGGTCGTTCAATCGTTTGTGCGGACGTGGAGCAGATCGTCGAGGTTCGACCCAACGAGACAAGGTATCGTCGTCTGCTCGAGCTACTGGCCATTTGGTATCACAAGGGCTCTATCCTCATCTTTACCAACAAACAGGACACCACCGACACACTCTTTGGCCAGCTTAGCAGGGCCGGCTACGAATGTCTGTCGCTGCACGGCAGCAAGGATCAGACGGATCGTGACGAGACCATATCAGACTTTAAGAACAAGATCAAGAAGATCCTCATCGCCACCCCACTTGCCTCACGTGGACTCGATGTCAAGGACCTGAACCTGGTTGTCAACTTTGATTGCCCCGACCATCTCGAGGACTATGTTCACCGTGTTGGTCGTACTGGCAGAGCTGGCAACAAGGGAACAGCGTACACATTCATCTTACAGGAGGAGAGCAGGTTCGCGCCAAGCATTATCAAGGCTCTCGAGCAGTCTGGTGCCAAGGTACCAGAGGAGCTGGTCAAGCTAGGCCAAGAGTATGCCAAGCTGCGACAAGAGGGCAAGGAGATCAAGGTGTCGAGTGGATACGGAGGTCGTGGTCACAAGTTTGATGCGGCCGAGGAGGAGCGAAAGAAGGAGAAGAGGAAGCTTGAGAAGAAACAGTACGACATTGACGATGATGAGGATGACGACGAGGTCAAGGAAGTCAAGGAGGATACCAAGACTCCACCCGTCACAGCCACACCAACAGCTGATGTCACTCCAGCACCCGAAACCCCTCTCAACGGCACGCCAGCCACACCAGCAGATGGTCTATCGGCCGGCGAGCAGGCAATCAAACAAATTCAACAAGTCGTTGCCACACCACTGCAGATCAGTACAGAGGCGGCCATTCGTGCCGCACAGCAAGCCGTGGCCGTGGCGACTGGCGTGGTCAAAGCACCAGTCAAGCCACCAAGAGTATCGCAGCATTTGGCCACCTTCCACGACGAGGTGGAGATCAATGATTACTCACAGCAGGCCAGATGGAAGGTTACACACAAGGACGCCATGCAACAGATCATCGAGATGACTGGCACAGCCATCACTGCAAAGGGTCTGTACTTCCCGCCCAACAAGCCAGTGCCAGCTGGTCAGAAGAAGCTTTCATTGCTCGTCGAAGGTCCGACTGACTCTGGCGTGCGCACCGCCGTTGCAGAGATCAAGAGAATCTTGGACGAGGCACAACTGCTATCACACTCAGATAAAGGAAAGTACTCAATATTCTAACGATTGATCATTCACACCACTTGACACAAATTAAATTCCTCATTTATTTTATTTTAAAGATGTGGTGAGTTGATTCGAATGAGTGCGGGAACACCTCTTGCAATCTTGAGAATGTGAACTCACACTTTTAAGTTTGAACCTCTCACTTTTCACAAATACCTTCATTGATCCCATTCATTCATTCATACATTCATTTATACCATTCATTCATTCATTCATTTATACCATTCATTAATTTCCTTGTATCATTCACACTTTAAAGTGATCATTTATTGTGTAACAAACCAACCAACCAATCAATCAAATGAGTAGCCAATCTGTACCCTGACTCGACATTCGACAACCATCACATTGTTGTGACTGTGATGATGATGGACAGTTGTGGTCTTGTCCAAGATGGATGATGATGTCGTTCATTGATCCATGATGATCGCAACTGACATGCGGACATGTGATGATGTTGTAGAACTCTCCACCTTGGTCTGATTCTTGAACTATGTATCCGAAAGGTCTTTGAGTTGAATGTCCATCATCATCATTATCGATACAATTGTTAATGTTGACGCTGTTATCAAGACATGTCTTGCAATCTTCTTGGTCAGCACACTGTTGATGTGGAGTAGATAAGTGGGATGTCTTGCCTTCCGGTGAGCGGAAGAAGTGACCGCAGGAGGTGTGTGGACACTTTGTCAGTCCTCTTGCCAGCAGCATCTCAATGGACGCGGTATCGTTTATATCGGCTTTGAACTTGTGTCGTTGATACATCTGGTAGTTTGGACAACTGGCAAATGTCAAAGTGCATCGATGAAAATCATGGCAATGAATGTGAAGAGCGGAGAAGCTTGAGAACTCATTTGTGTTGGAGCAGGCAATATGTTGACACTTGAATACTTTCTTGTTCAGCTTAACCGACAACTTGTGACGAAAGTTATGTCGAGTACATCCATCGCAGCTCTGCTTGTCGTCACAATGATGCTCCTTCATCCTCATGTGCTCATTTACAGTATGTCTATATCTGAACCATTTGTTGCATGATGTGTGACGACACTTGATCATTCCATCGGCCATCATCATTCTGATTGATTCCACGTCGTCGGGTGGTGTGTCAAAGAATGTTGTTCTTCGCTCTCTCTCATTTGGGCAACATGAATAGCTATGTGTGCATCCATGGGCCTCTTTACAGTGTAAGCGGATACTACCCACTTGATAAMCGTGCGATGGTACAATCATCATGTAGACAGCGGAGCTTTGGCATTCTGTGGTTGTCTCCATCTTGACTGGTAATGGTGTTATACCTGGGGTGTGGCTTGGCCTGTCCACTGTCTGTTGTAGATGGTGTTTCGGCATCCGAGTCCTCGTCGAGCACTGTCCGGCGTCGCTTGAGAGATGAGAGTAGCCCTTCTGAACGAATTTTGGACCGTGGCTGGCAGCCTAGGCATGTCGTTCGGTCGCTACATTCGTGCTTTACTTTGCGGAAGTGAGCCAACAGTGACTCTTCCGTTTCAAGGAAGTGGAGGCAGGATGTATGCGGACACTTGATAAAGCCATCGGCCAACATCATCTCGATCGATGCAGTGTCAGCGGCATCAGCTTTGAATGCTCTCTTGCGGTAGCTACGCTCGTTTGGACAGGTTGCGTAGGTCCATGTGCATCGATGCACTGCTCTGCAGTGCATATGTATTTCGTTGAACGATTTGAACTCCATCCTGCATGTACCATGTTGACAATAAAGCAAGACGGTCTGAGGTCGACGGCCATCAGATATAGTGGTCGCCTTTGTCATCAATGAGTCACTTCGAAGACAGCCAGGACAGGTCAGACGGTCGGCACATTGATGGTCTCCATCTTTGAACTGCAAGTGTTGAGTCAAGCCCTCCTTTGACCCGTAGAAGTTGAAGCAAGATGTGTGCAGACACTTGACGAGACCATCGCGCAACATCAACTCGATCGATGCTGTGTCATCAGGATCCGGACAAAAGAGTGTACTGCGGTATCTTCGATCGTTTGGACAGCCTGCATAGGTGCCCTCGCATCCATGTAGCACTCGGCAGTGTTGTTGTAGTTTGTCAAATGTGCTATAGCTATGTGATCTATTTGGGCAACGTTTGTGCAAACAATACAATCCCTCCTCCTTTCGTTGTACCTCTATTGTTTTATATCTGGTCAATGACATATATATGTGTAAGTGTATTTTTTTTGATTGGTTGATTGAGTGGTGGTCCATGTTAAGGCTGAGGACTCGACCTCAAAGTGAAATGAAAGGGTCCACCTTTGATTATTTATGGGACATGAAAGCTCGATCAATCCGTACCATCACTCGAAATCTGTTTGTTAGTAAAGGGATGGTCCCAAATGAGGGGGTATTATTCATGATATAAATAATAATAGGATTTTATTAAAATTGATTTCAAAAAACAACGACAAAAATTATCTGATTAAATGGTAAATATTATCTGGGAGTCCTCCCCTACCTCCTATAGAGGTACCCTTCTTTGATTGAACTTGGTGAATTGGAGGTTGACCACCTTGAATGTATGAATAAGCTGGAGAATCTCTCACATAAGGGTAGCTATCAGAACTACTAAGTGAGTCTTCCATATCAACTCTCATTGGATTATTATCACTTGAAGCTTGGTTAATTACTTGGTGAATAAAATCGTCACTACCATAGTATTTAGGTAGTGAATATTTAGATTTACTAATAATAAGGTTAGAAGGAGAAAAGTCAAAATTAGTTTCCTCTCCATTATTTAAATTCATGGAGATAAATAGTAATAATCCAAAAATATAATAATTAATAATAAAATTAGTTAATTTCATTGTAGTAATAATATATTTATATATATTGTAATAATAATAATAATAATAATTCAATTTAGCCTTTTCCTATATATAATTGATTGAATCCAAGATTTAGGATTTAATTATTAATAATTGATCATCCAATTTGTAAATTAGCCTATAAATTTATTTCACCACAAAAATATTATATATAAATTATTCGACAATTAATAATATATATTGTGATCGTTGGATTTAGATTTACAACACTGTATTGTTTAAATCAGAAGTCATACTACCTTCACCCCCTTTAAAAGGGTGAATAACTATCATCACTCACATGAGCAACCAATCATTATCATCATGGCGAGACAACTTGCAACCATCACAATGTTGTTGATGTTGGACATTTGATCACATTGAACATGCTCTCATTCCAGACTCCAACTTGATTGGGCCTGATGAAGTTGATGAAAGTGGGTCCCTGTTCGAATGATTGACATTGATGCACTACCTTGCAATGATGTTGCAGAGTACCAAACACATCGAACTCTTTGGAGCAACCATCGTGTAAACAGACAAACGGCTTGATGGATGGAAGATCATTGGGATGTGTGTACCTTGCCATCAACAAGTCACTGCGCAGACAACCTGGACAGCTGTTGCGGTCTGCACATTGATGATCTCCACCTTTCCTCCACAAGTGTAGGCACATGGAGACCGACGAGGTGAAGAAGTTGAAGCAAGTGGTGTGCAAACACTTGATGAGTCCATCGGCCAGCATCATCTCGATTGAGTCTTTGTCTTCGGCATCGACAATGAACAACCTTGTCCGATAGCTTCTGAAGTTTGGACACGATGCATAAGTCCGAGTGCAGCCATGATCGGTGGAGCAATGCTTGCTCATTGTGCCATAATCTATGAAGGTCCTTGTGCAGCCCAAATGAAGACAGGCAAGTCTCGGCTTCATCATTGTAGTTTGCTCTGCTTTGTTGTTTGTAGTGATTGTTGATGTAGTTGATGTTGTTGAGGTTGCATTTTGTTATAATATGTATTTGCTTGTTTGATTGAACAAATGAATAAATGAATGAATGTTCAAAATGATTGATTTTATTCTTGACTGATCACTCACACGAGCAACCAATCACGTTGATGATGTTCATCATTGTCATTGTGACGAGACAACTGGCAACCAATACATTGTTGTTGCAACTGTGATGATGATTGACAGTTGTGGTCTTGTCCAAGATGAATGTTGATGTCGTCCATGGACCCATGATGCTCACAACTGACATGTGGACACTTGATCATGTCAAACAATGCCTCATTGCCAGACTGCTCAACAGTGAATCCCAGCGGTCTATCAGTTGTAATAAGTCCATCGTCATCATTACTGTTGATGGCCATAGATTGAAGGCAGGCCTTGCAATCTTGTGCACACTGATGCTTCTTTGCTGCGTGCCTCACCTTGCTCGACAATGTGTGGAAGAAGTTACCACAAGACTTGTGTGGACACTTGGTCAATCCTTTAGCCAATATCATCTTGATTGATGCAGCATCGTTTGGATCGGCCCTGAACTTGTTTCGTCGGTATGTGTTTGAGTTTGGACAGCTGGCAAACGTTAACGTGCATCGATGCACTCCCTTGCAATGCAGCTGAAGGTGCTTAAGGCTGCCGCTCATCTTTGTCCTGGTGCAGTCTTTGTGGAGACACTTGAGAGCTACCTTGTTGAACCTAATCTCGGGCAGCGTGATATCGTCTGTCGTTTGATTGCATCCAGCACAAGTCTCGCTGTCCTTGCATTGGTGCTCCTTCATTCTCATGTGCTCCTTGACCGTTACCATCGATCTGAACCATTTGTTGCAAGAGGTGTGCCAACACTTGGCCATTCCATCGGCCTTCATCATTGCGATCGAGTCCACGTCCTCTGGCGGTGTCTCAAAAAACGAGTTCCTGCGCTTCCGTTCATTCGGACAACTGGCATACGTATGTGTGCATCCATGGCTCGTCGTGCAGTGAGTACGCAAATGGAGAACTCGGTAATGCCTCACCGTGCAATTGTCATGTAGACATTGAAGCCTTGGTTTAACTCTCATATTGTTTGAACCATCATTGTCATCTTCGTCATCCTCATCATTATCATTATTCTCTCCGTCGTTGTCAGGTTCCTCCATCTCGCAATCGGTGTCGTCCCTAGATGTTGAATGACCTGGTCCCATCCTCCTGTTTGCTCGAATGAGACAGCCATAGCAGGTTTCATGGTCGGTGCATTGATGATCCACGTTTGACAAGTGTGAATAGCGTGTATCCTCCGTCGACATGAAGTACATGCAAGAGGTGTGCCAACACTTGATGAGTCCATTGGCCAGCATCATCTCGATGGAAGCAGTGTCGTCCGGCTGTGCTATATGAGCTCTCTTGCGATAAAGGCGATCGTTTGGGCACGTGGCATACGTCCATGCGCAATTATGTTCTGATCGGCAGTGGACATGTAAGTCGCTGAATATTCTGTAAGTTGCACTTTCTTCCCGACCCTGATGACACGGCATCGATAGAGTTGATGTTGCACGATGGCTTGGTCAAGTGTCTGCACACATCTTGCTTCAACTTCGATGTTTACGATCGTTTGGACATGTCGCGTATGTATGTGTGCAAGAGTGCAGGGCATGACAGTGATCCATAAGACTGGTGAATGTGCTGTACTTGTATGTCCCTCCATTTGGACATCTCTTGTGCAGACAGTAATATCCAACCTTCTGACCTTTCTTTGACATGCATGCGACCCTCTCTATCTCACTCTGTTGTTGATGCTGTAGATGTTGTGATGTTGCTCTAAGTTGTTATTGGTAGTTGTTGTTATTATAGCTACAATAATATGTATTTGTATTTGTTTGATCGTTATTTGTTTGAATTTGGATGAAATGAAATGAAGTGACCTTGAGGTGAACGACATGGGGCCTTCGGGGGCGATGATCAAACCCACAAGGACAGAACAAATGATTGATTGTTTGATTGATTGATTGAATGATTGACGACAAAATGCCCCTCATCCATCCCATGATCGGATGGCAAACTCTCGGATTTTAATGGTTATGGAACTAAATGAGTAGCCAATTTGACCCCTCTTGGTCCAGTTTGCAACCATCACATGGAAGTAGAGACAGAGTTGGACACTTGTGATCCTCTCCAAGATGGACCAGCATCTCATCCAGTGTACCACTACTCTCGCAGCTGATATGGGGACATTTGATGTTGAAGATTGTTGCCAGCGCTCCAAGCTCTGTAACCTTATCTTCAATCTCAACATTCTCGCCCTCACCATTATCACCTTTGGTCTTCGCCACACTCCTCCAGGCAACCTGTTGAATCGTTCTTTTTGCTCGAAGGTTGACGAGGTATAATAGATGTACGTTGCCAGCAGGATCATGTTGATCCACATCGTCTACGTCTACGTGTACGTCTACATTGCTGCTTGTTACCTTGTTCCTCTTCTTCAGTCTGTTGCTGCTATGTTCATGCTCCTCCAATGCCAAGACGCCATGGTCGTGGCTGTCAATTGACCCTAATGATGAGCGTCGCTTCTGACAGGCCCTGCAGTGACTTGGATCGATACATTGATGTGTAATCTTACGCACATGGTTCATCTGGCTCTTGGCGCGTATGAAGTAGATGTGGCAGTCTGTATGTGTGCATTTGATCAAGCCATTGGCAAGCATCATTGTGATCGACTTTGTGTCATCAGGCAAGACCGAGAACTTCTTCTTTTGGTAGTGACGCAGGTTTGGACAAGTGGCATAGGTGCACGCACATCGATGTACCGAGGCGCAATGAGCATACGCGTTGTATGTGTTCGAGTACACTTTGGCGCATGACGAATGCATACACCGGATCCTGTGCTTGATATCCTCCTCAACACTGCCCTCTAGTTGTTGACATGCCCTGCATCTCCATGGCTCAGCACACTGATGCATCGCCTGTGTCAAGTGACTCTGCTTGGCGCCGTGTGTGGGGAAGAAGCTGGTGCAGGACGCGTGCGGACACTTGATCAGTCCGTTGGCAAGCATCATGCGGATCGACTCGGTGTCCTTTGGATCTGCCTTGAATCCAATCCTTGGGAACACGTGATGGTTTGGACATGCAGCGTATGTCCATGTGCAAGCATGTTCCTCTTTGCAGTGATTGCGCAACTGGCTGTAGACCATGTATGAGCTGTCGCAGAACTCGTGTTGGCAGCTGAAGTTGTTGAGATTGACGCGAGGTAGTGGTGGGACGACATCGCCACCAGTTACGAGTAGTTGGGGCTGATCGACCAAGAGTGCTGTTACTGCCGCTGTCTCCACACCATGCTCCAGCTGCAAGTGGCTGGACACCACTGCTGTCTCCACACCATGGTCCAGCTGCATGTGGCCAGACATGTCGAGATTCGAACGGAACCATCTGTTGCATGCCGAGTCCAGACAATTGGACCATCCATCGGCCAGCATCAACTCGATCGACTCCAAGTCGTTTGGAGATGGCTCATAAACTACAAGTCTTTGGCTCCGTTCGTTTGGACAGCTGGCATATGTCGTGTTGCAATCTTGTGGTGAATGTTTCAACTTGCAGTGTGATCGCAACTCATCACGTTGGCCTGATTCAATGATATGTGAGCAACCTTTATGTAAGCACATAAGGGCTTCTTCATCTTGCTTGATATCGACTGGTTGCAGTGGCAGTGGCAGTGGAAGTGGGAGTGGGGATGGCGTGCTTGCTCTTCTTGTTTCTCAAGTGGCACAGGTTGTGGTTGATAATTGCCATAATGATCATCATTATCTACCTTTACCGGCTCAATCAACGACTTGTACTCCAAGTCGACGCTATGGATATGTTGACGACCATCATCTTGGTCATCTATCTCAATCTTTACAGTAGGTACATGTACCTGTTGTTGTACATGTGGCGGCTTCACATCACTTGATTGTGATTGTTGTGTTGTCTTCTTCTTCTCCTCTGTGAGAATGGCTTTGTCTTCAATCGAGTTGATTGGTAATGTTGTCGATGTTGTAGTTGTAATTGATGATGTTGTTGTAGTTGTTGAAGTTGTTGTAGAAGTAGTTGTTGAAGTTGTGTTTATCATTGTCTACTTATATAAGTAATGTTGTTAAGTTAAGTAAGTAGGTAAACATTCTATCTATCTAGTTATTATTACTATATTTATTATATTATTTGTCAAGATAGAAGTGGATCAAGACATTCAAGTTGAAGTGAATTGTAACCTCAAGTATTCAAGAGATTAATTTATGGGTTTCAACTTGAAACGACACAATATCAAGGTGATGACAAATACATTGATGTTCAAACAATATCATTATATATACATATAACATATAAATACAATGTATCTCAGGTCAAGTATGATATTCAAAGGCACCAACCTTTGTTTCAACTTTACAAACAGGCTCTCCAAACCCTTAAGGTTGCCATTGTCTATGAGCACAGTACAATGGTCCAAGTACCCAACAACATTGTCATCCATTGGTGGAAACTCAAGGTCATACTGGTCTTCAACCAAACCATCATTGGTATGCTCTCATCTCTTTGAATGAATGGATGAATGAATGAATGATTATCCATACTAATCAATCGATCAAAACTAAAGAACAACAACAACAACAAGAATAGCACTATGATTGAAGAAGATAATGGAATGGATTTGGTTAATAGGTTGTATGATAAGGTATCAAAGTCACCTTCAATGTATGGAATGTTGATGCAGAGATATAGAGAAGCACCCAAATGGGAGAATGAGGACTATGTCACTTTGTTAGCATTGGGTAAGAAGTTTGGTGTAGCTTCTTCATGGGACATATGTATAGACATTCATAAGGTGTTGCTAGAGCGCTTACAAAAGGATCCAGAATACGCCAAGCACAACACACCTTTGCCCAAAGGTGTTACTATTCGACTTGATCAATCGTTCCTGGAGCACCTGTCCTTGTATGCTTGGCTCAACATTGCCTTGGCGTACAATTCAATGGGGCAGAAAGACAAGGCGGTCGAAGCCTCGGCACAGATGCTCCACTTCTACCCAGACTGCTTCGAAGCGCGCATCATTAGTGCGAAGAACTCTGACCCGGCCAAGGCGCTGCCATTCATCGAGGAAGCCGTCGCCATGCGTCCAACCAACGTTGAGGCTCGCAGCTATCATGGTGCGATCTTGCAAGACCTTGGAAGAGTGATGGAATCGATCGACACACTCACACCCCTCCTGGACATTGTGTCTCGCGACAACCCTCGAGAAGCCAAACATCGTGTACTCTTGATGCATCAGATCGTCTCCATGGTATTCTCGCAGGCTGCCGATGTAATTGAGATGAGTAGTGAAGCGTACAAAACAACAAAGAGACCAGTTGCCGCGGCAGAACTTATAGCCGCACAAGTTAAAGCCTACAGCAGTGGCAGCAGCAACAGCACTCAATCATCGACCAACTGTGTTGAGTTAATCTCTACACTTAACAAGGTTGCAGAGATGTTCCGTGCCGTGCCCAGCACGCAACTCAATCAAACCTACTATCAATTCATCGATAGACTACTCCTAATACTTATCAAGTCAGCCCAAGAATGCCAGTACTACTACGAACACAACACCCAATTCCCCGAAGTCTCCAATCTCCACGAGACCATCATCGACATACTTCATGGCATGAGGTTGTTCATTGGTACTCAACCATCCTCATCATGAGTCGGGCCATTCATTCATTCATTCATGCATTCTGTTTGCGCAAAGATCAAGGTCTATCTCTATCCTGAATCCAACTAATATTTGATTCATCGAATATATCATATCATATCAATTAATCAATCATTGTTGTGATCAATCAATTCTGTAACATTTATCAGAGATAATAAAGTATGATGTTGTTGCTTATGCACAAATGGTCGAGAGACTTTGAGTCGGTGTGTACGAATGCGTGAAGCAGGACCGGTCCTAGAGGTCGGGACGGTCGACCAAGGGATTCGCCGAAGAGTAGACCCTTGAAAAAGTCACACTTCTTCTCCACCTTGGGGTTTCAAGTCGTGAATTCGGGCTGGAACTCTCGCCTAGATCTTGGATGACCTCACAAGGGGGAACCCCCAAACACAACCTCAAAACTAATCATTGAACCCATTCATCAAAACATACCCCGTTATTTAGCTGGGTGTATGAACATCATGATATTTATTTAAATTTAATGTTTAGTCCTTGAGTACTAATCCAAGCCTTACCATATATAGGTGTGTCCACATCTCTATTCATTCATTCATTCATTCATTCAAATATACATACTCATATTCATTCTATCATTCATTCAATCTACAAGTTATTACTTTGTACAAATAACAACAACAAAGAAACATAATTAAATATGTCAAATCAAGTGTTTGAAGAGAATTACGCACTTGCCAGTGATAATAATGAGAGGACTACTTTGTTGGCAAGTCTGATCGCTGGTAGCCCAGACTATTATTATTATAACAGTTTGCATTTGCTCAATGTCGACCCACAGCTAAAGGACAAGGCGAACAAGACAAAGTTCCAGCAAATCTTGAAGGACTGGACGAACGACCACGGCGCCTACGACGACGGCCTGCACCAGCGCATCAAGAACCGCGCGCATCTGCTGGGCTTCTCCAGCGAGACGTCCGAAGAGGTGTTTGAGTCCATCAAGCGTCAGCTGAACCTCACCTTTAGCTACTACCCCTCGTCGTCGGCCTCGTCTGCTGTCGCCGACTCGTCGGCCGCACCCCTCTATCCATCAAAGTTGGACGAGAAGCTGATTGATCGCGCCACATTGATCAAGCGCGCCATCGCCGACTACCCCTATCAGCTGAGATTCCCACGCTCGGCCATCCCCTACGTCGTCAACAACCACACCCTCTCGCCAGAGCAGCTCAAGCAGGCTCTGCAACAATGTACATATCCAGTGTTTGACAAGACCGTCGATCTCCTCGTCCAGGCTGGCTTCACATACAACCAGACGTCACTGTTTGCCAATCTCACTCTGGCCCAGATGGACAAGTGGGCCTCGAGCAAGCCCGAGTTGGTCGACCAGCGCTTCGTCTCCACATACCTCAACAAGCTGCAGCCGTCCAAGGACGACGTCGACTGGACCAGCGTTCCAGAGCACTACGAGGCTTACCTCAAGGCGGCCTACGCCTACGTCACCAAGCTGCCCGCCAGCCTCAACTCATTCAAGCATGCCGTCCTGTATCATTATCTCACCTTCCAGGTGTCCCAGAACGTCTACGACAATGACAAGTTCACCAAGTACTGCCAGTTGCCCAGAGACACCCACTACTACAACAACAAGCCAGGCGCCAAGATTGTCGACCCCATCAACTTCAACACTCAGATCAGCGACGCCTTCACACCAGTATCCGTGCCCGACGACGAGAAGCTGCTCAGAGCATTCTTCACCAAGATCTTCCAGACTGAGAACTCGTTCGACTCGTTCACAAAGTTCTTCACCGCCTCCTACCTCCAGCCAATCTTTGCCGAGATCAAGCTTCTGACCAACACTGGCGACATGGAGAAGTGGTACCAGATGGTCGACAGTCACACTCGCGTCCAGGAGCTGAAGGATCGCGTCGACATTGACTTCCTGCCCCAGAACCCCGAGTACTTCAGCCCAGACCAGGCTGTTGAGATCAAGTGCGCCATCAAGAATGTGCAGCACCTGCTGGTCAAGGTGTTTGAGATCAACACACTCAACTACTACAAGACCGAGCAACGCCAGATCCAATCAGACATCAACCTCGACGGTCTCGTGGCCAACCAAGAGTTCACCTACAAGTACACCGAGGCACCCATCCAATCAGTCGTCCGCTCCTTCTCCTTCCCATCACTCAAAGGAAAGCGCGGTATCTTTGTCATAGAGTTCATTGGCAATGGAAAGTCAAGCCGTGCTGTAAGTAATTCAACACTCATTCAATCATCCGCATACTCATACATCATTCACACCATTCACAACAATATAGTTGATCAGAAAGGGAGAGCTACACTATATCTCCGCAACTAGCCAGGATGGCCAGGTCATTAGAGTGATCGATGAGGACTCTGTCAAGATTGTAAAGAGTTCTGTTTACGTCGATGGCAACCTGTACAAGAGTGAGGAGAGTGGCGATATCATCCTTCCATTCTCTGTCAATCAATCAAACAAGCCAATCATCTTGGTCACTGAGGACTTTGCCACACTAAAGGACTTCACTCACAACTCTGAGAAGTACACACTTGTCGGAGGTATCTTCCTTGAGAACTCAACCTTCCTCCAAGGCGAGCGTGCACCAATCGTTGTCAGAGCCCGTCTCTACCTCAACAACACCCAGATCTCCCTTACCAACCTCGAGGAGTCCACCCTCACAATCACTACCACTGATAACGTATGTGTCATCATCACTCATTCAATCAATCAATCACATGCTAACCAACACCTATCACTCATTTATAGTCTGCCCAGTCCATTGTCACTGCCAAAGAGGTCAAGCCATTCGCCTTGAATGACAAGGAGGAGTCGACTTACTCCTTCAAGGTGCCAGAGAATGTGAGCAATGTAACAGTGCGCTTCGACGCCAAGGTGCGCCAGCTGAAGGGCAAGGGCGACACCATCGACGTGAGCTTCGAGAAGTCACTACCAATCAACTCGATCAACGAGTCGAGTGATTTCGTCAACTGCTATCTGCGCTACTCTGCCGATGGCTTCAAGGTCTATGCACTCGGCAAGGGTGGTGAGTGCTACGCCAACAAGCAACTGTCGCTTACTCTCAAGCACAGCATGATCAACGACGCCATCTACGTCACATTGCAAACTGACAAGGATGGTATCATCCACCTTGGTAAACTAGTTGATGTAAGTACATCCACACGCGTCCCTCGTCACAACATAACACTGACACATCATACTTGCATTCATTTAGATTGATAACATCACAATCAACAGTGAGCAATACTATAGCTTTGATATCAACAGCAACAGAGCTAAGCACAACTACCCTGTAATCATCCATGCTCGTGCTGGCGAGCAGATCTCCATTCCTTACAATGGTCCAGAGAAGAGCATCACCAGATCAGCATTCAATCTCTTTGAGATCAGGTACAACGTCACCAACGATCACTTTGACAAGATCCAGTTTGATGTAAGTAACCTCATTGATCATCGTGGCATTGTTTGATCATATGACTAACATCCCCATCCCCCCAACTATAGAAGGAGAAGCAAGACATCATCTTCAAGCTGCCACCAGGACAGTACTTGTTCTGCATGAGCCAGCCAGAGATGAACATCACAATCCAGGTTTGTGATGGTGATGTTAAGGAGGGATTCATTGTTGGCTCGTCCAGAATCCTCAGCTACCACCCATCCCTCATTCACGGACTGAACATCTCGGCCGTCGCTGACAAGAAGAACTTGGAGATCACTCTGAGGAACCCAACCGCCACCACTAGAGTGCACGTCCTCTCTAGCTACTTTGTCCCACCACAGGAGCTCAACAATAGCCTGAGCGTTGGCAACACGCCAGTGCTCTCACAGGAGTACACCAAGACCAAGTCGCTCTACTTTAGCGGCCGCTCACTGGGTGACGAGATCACCTACGTGCTCAACCGCAAGTTGGCCAAGAACACCCTGCCAGGCAACTCACTCAAGAAGCCCTCGCTCTTGATGCAGCCATGGTCCATTGCCAAGACCACTCAACAGAAGGAGACCCTCTCCAAGGGTGACGAATATGCCAAGAGGAGCGCCAAGTCCCACCATGCCGCCAACGCCTGCCCAATCTCGCGCAACCAACACTCTGTCAGCAACTACAGCTGCTTCTTGGAGTTCCTCAAGACTCCAACCGCCGTGTTGCTCAACCTTGTGCCCGATGCTAAGGGAGTCGTCACTGTGCCCCTCTCAGCCCTCACCCCCTCCGGTCAGTTCGTCACTATCACTGCCGTCGACATTGACAATGTTGTCACTCGCGAGATTGTCTTGGATCACACTGAGGCCACACTCAAGGACACCAAGTTGGTGCGTTCGCTCGACGCCCAGGCTCACTTCACTGAGAAGAAGTTGATCACCACTGTCCCAGTCGGACAGGAGTTCACCATCTCCAATGCCGACTCGGCCAAGTTCACCACCTACGACACGTTGGCCAAGGTGTTGTCACTCATCAAGACCATCTCGCCATCGTCCAACCTGCAGGACTTCTCGTTCGTTGCCGAGTGGGGCACACTCACCGCCGAGCAAAAGAATGAGAAGTTGTCCAAGTTCTACTGTCACGAGCTGGCCTTCTTCATCTACAAGAAGGACCGCACCTACTTTGACGCCGTGGTCAAGCCATTCGTCGCATCCAAGATGCACAAGACCTTCTTTGACCACTACTTCACTGGCAACCACGACCGACTCGAGAAGTACATCACCAGCGCCACCAAGTTTGAGGAGCTCAATGTCCTCGAGCGTATCCTGCTCGCTGAGGTGTTCCCCGAGCAGGCCCAGAACATCCAGGCCTCGATCGTGGACCGTGTCCAGTTCTCCCCATTGAGCCCTGTGCGCTACGACACACTGTTCAAGATTGCCTTGTCCCTGGACACTGACAAGGGCGCCTCTGACTCGGAGCCAATGGAGCCAATGGAGTTGGAGATGGACGGCGAAGGTGGCGGCGGTGCCATGGATATGGATATGATGGTGGATGAGCGCAGGCAAAGAGAAAGAGCTCCAGAGATGAAGATGAAGAAGAATTTAGCTTTTGCTCCTTCCCCAGCCCCAGGCGGCTTTTCATTCGCTGGTCCAATGGGCGCTGCACCTCCACCCCCTGCCCAAGCAATGGCATCAATGGCACCAATGTCAATGATGAGAATGGCTGCCGACACCCCAATGGGATATGGCGAGCTCTCACAACAGGTTGTTGGAGGCGCTCAGCGCCACGCCAAGAAGAAGGTCATCTACGAGGAGATCGAGAAGACTGAGGAGTGGGCCGAGACCCACTACTACAAGAACCAGTTCCCACACTCGGACCTGGTTCCCTGCAACGAGTTCTGGAGAGACTACGTCCTTCACGTCGTTGCCGGTCTCAACAACAACAACGTCGCTCCATTCTTGAGCAAGTACATTGCTCTGACCTCCTCTTCATTCACCAGTGCCATGGCCACACTCGCCGTTCTCGACCTGCCATTCGAGACCAAGGACAAGGAGCCAAGAAACATCGATGGTCGCGTCACCTACAAGCCCACATCCAACATCATCGTGTTCCACGAGGAGTTGATCAGCGCCAATCTGGAGCGCGACACCAACGTGTTGATCAGCCAGCACTTCTTCGACCCCAACAACCGCTACAGCTACGACAACAACGAGCAGAATGAGATTTACCTCCACGAGGAGTTCCTCTGCTCCAAGGTGTACGGCGCTCTGATCGTTGTGGCCAACCTCTCCTCCAAGAGAAAGAAGTTGGACATCCTCCTGCAGATCCCCAAGGGATCCGTGCCCATTGGCCCACACCCCTTCTACACTCGTGGCGAGTCTGTTGAGCTGAGCCCATACTCAACTCATCGCATTGAGTACCAGTTCTACTTCCCATCTGCTGGCTCCTACCAGCACTTCCCCACCCACGTCAGCGAGAAGGACAAGATCATCGCCGCCGTCGTCCCATTCACCTTCAAGGTCGTCACCACGCCAACCATTGTCAACCAGCTCTCATGGGAGTACATCGCCAGCAATGGCACTCAGCAGGCCATCCTCGAGTTCCTCCAGCGCGAGAACCTCAACCGCGTGGAGCTCTACCACATGTACCACAAGCTCACCGACCACGAGTTCTGGAAGAAGGTCATCGAGATCCTCAAGAGCAAGAAGGTGTTCGACAGCCAGGCCTGGTCTTTCGCCGTCTACCACAAGGACGCTCACTACTGCCAGGACTACTTGAGCAGTGTGTTTGGACAGTACGACGTTGGCAAGGTCATTCAGAGCCAGTTGCTCACCTCATCGCCAATCGAACGCAACGACTTTAGCTACTTGGAGTACTACCCATTGGTCAACTCGAGGACTCATCAGCTCGGCAAGAGAAAGATCCTCAACGACAAGCTCAGCGAGCAGTACAAGAAGTTCTGCGAGTTGATGACCTACACCACCAACCCATCGGACAGCGACTTGCTCTCACTCGTCTACTATCTGCTCTCTCAAGACCGCTTCGACGAGGGCTTCAAGACCATGAAGCGTGTTGGCGTGTCCGACGAGTCTCAGTCGATCACCTCACCAGATCTACCAAGCCAGCCAATGCCTGCCCCAGCACCTGCTTCAACGACTTCCACCTCATCAGGTGCTGAGGACACCAACGAGAAGAAGAGAAAGGCCGACAAGGAGGAGAAGCTCAAGGAGAAGGAGGACAAGAGAAAGGAGAAGGAGAGAGAGAAGTTGGAGAAGAAGAAGGAGAAGGAGGTCAAGAGAAAGGAGAAGGAGGAGAGAAAGAAGAAGGAGGAAGAGGACAAGAAGCTCAAGAAGTTGGCCAAGAAGTCAAAGACTGAGGACACTTCTGCCTCCCCTGTGACCTCTGGTATTGGCGCCGCCCCACCCGCCCACGATGATGACACTGAGTGCAGCGACATGTGCGTCGATGTGTCTGACTTCAACGAGCCATCCAACTTGCCCGAGCTCCAAGTGCAGTTCGACTACTTGATCTCCTACATGGACTTCTTCAACGCCAACCCAACCAAGGCCAAGGAGCTCTCTGAGAAGTACAAGAACTACCCAGTGCAACGCTGGAACGCCCTCTTCAAGGACATCTACAACAAGATCCAACAGGTCACCAACAGCGACACTGTCGAGGTCGATGACAATGAGAACGATCGTGACAGACGCCACGCCAAGCTTCTGGCCACCGAGCCATCGTTTGATGTCAGCCTTGAGCCAAACAGAACGATCGCCATCAACTACACCAACCTCACCGATGTCACCATCAACTACTACATTATGGACATTGAGTTGCTCTTCTCCAGCAATCCATTCGTCCAACAAGAGTTGGGACAGTTCCTCTACATCTCACCCAACAAGAAGGAGTCCTTCCCACTTAAGGAGCTGTCAGGCACCCACATTGTCAAGATCCCTGAGGAGTTCAAGAACTCCAACATCATGGTCGACTGCCAGTCCCACGGCATCCACCACAACCTCACCATCTACTCCAACAACCTTGCCGTCCAAATCACCGAGAAGGCTGGTCAGCTCCGTGTCATTGAGAAGCAGACCAAGAAGCCAATCTCCAAGGCCTACATCAAGGTCTACGAGAAGAGCAACTCTGGCAACGTCCAATTCTGGAAGGATGGCTACTCTGACATTGCCGGTTACTTTGACTACGCAAGTGTCTCAACTGGCAATATCAACGATGTTTCCAAGCTCTCCATCCTTGTTCTCCACAACCAGTTTGGTGCTCTCATCAAGGAGGCCAAGCCACCTGCCATGTAAACACTCATCCAAAGTATCTCAGAGATATAAATAAACCCCAAACAACTTCTATCTATACACATAAATATATATTTGTTATTACTTCCTTCTCTTTGACAACTCGATCACCTTGGGTGTCGCAGATGTATCAACTGGAGCATCAAAGGACTGCTTTGATCCAAACTTCCATCCACCTCCGCCAGCAGAACTGCTGCTCGAGTTGTTGGACGACTTGGTGATCTCCTCGAATTTCTGGATGATCTCCTTGGTGTTGAGTGTCTTTCGGTTCAGTGTTGGTGATTCCAAATGACTGCTGCTGCCACTGCCAAGTTTGGTGCTGCTGCCGCCACCTCCACTGCCACCCTTCTTTGTCGTGAGCAGCTTCTTGATACGGTCCTGCACTGAGATATGTGCCTTTTGTGGCGAGATCGGTGGTGACGAGGTGATTGGTGTTACAGTTGTTGATGATCGTTTGCTCTTTGGTGTTGTCGGGTTGGTTGCTTTGGGTGTCGATGGGCTGGAGAGCACATTGGGTGATGGTCCAGTGCTCTTGTTTGTTGGGGATGATATGTGAAGTGTTGTTTGGCTCGTGCCATTACCACTTGTACCTTGAAGCAGACTATCATCGATCGATTCTTTGTTGTTGTTGTTGTTACTGTTGTTGTTGCTGTTGTTATTTACATTGGTGATGTTAAGCCTGAAGGTGTTCTTTCGCTCATCCACCATGTTGGTTAACGCTGCTGCCGCTGCCGCTGCTGCTGGTGATGGGTTGGGCTGGACATTGATTACTTGTGGTTGTGGTGAAGAGGAGGAGGATGATGTGGTAGGTTGTGTTGCCAGGTCCATGCGTGGTGGGGGTGAGCTGGCCGCTGGAAGTGGAGGGTCATACTCGGGACTCCAAGGTCTTGGAAAGCTATAATCTGGATGCTTGAGCAGTGGACTTGTCGAGACAGGGTCGTCACTCTCACCCTCAGGCTGGTATGGTCGAGGGAATGACAACAATTCAGAGTCATAAAAGTTGACAACGGTATCCTCTTCCTCTGAGTATTGATAATCATCCGGATTATACTCTTGCTGTTGTTGTAGTTGCTGATATTCATCCTCGCCGCCAACAGAGTTGTAATCGTACTCATACTCTTGTGGTGGCTGTTGCTCAGGGTCATCCATATGCATAAAGTCTGTGTTGTTGGTCTGTGCAGGTGAGCCTGAATCGCCTTCGCTTGGTTGATAGGGTCGCGGGAATGAGAAGCTGGACGAGTCACTAGTGTCATCGCTTGGTTGATAGGGTCGAGGGAATGAGAAGTTGGACGGAGTTGAAGAGACTGATTCGTTTAAAGTTGGTGCCTGTTGTTGTTGTTGCTGTACCAGTTGCTGGGGAGTTGGCGGTCGGTAGTTGGACCCCTGGTAAGGTCGCGGGAATGAGTCTGTCTTTGATGATGATATTGATCCTGCCCGCTTCTTTTCGGTCGATACATAGGGTCGCGGGAATGACTGATTGCTGCCACTTATGCTATTGTTATTGTTGTTGTTCTTGGCAATCTGTGACATTGTGAGCTGAGGCGGCTCGAAGCTCCTCAGGGGCGGATAGTCAACATCACCCAAGTCCGTCAGCGTGTCCAGCAGATATGTGATCAATTGCTCGATCTGTGTGAATGTGGGTCGCAGTTGTGGTCGCTCGCGACAGCAGTGGAATACTAGGTCGAGGAACTCCTTGGGGCAGTCCTTGGGCGTCTTGGAGACGACGTACGTCTGATCGATTCCCAGATTTTCGTTCCTGACCCTTGGCGTCAGTTTCAGCCTGGTTATCAGCTCGATCAACACTACGCCAAATGAGAACACATCGCAAGACTTATCATAGGGGTCGCCCAACAGCACCTCTGGTGCCATCCAATCATCCGTTCCACATATCGTCATCTGAGACTGTGCGGCCAAGTCAATCTTTCGCGCCAGACCAAAGTCGCACACTGAATGAATGATTGTTAGTTTGATTGAATGAGTGTGATTGGAATGATTGATCGAGACCAGGTTACCTTTGATCACCCAGTTCTCGGCCACCAGGAGGTTGGTAGACTTGAGGTCACGATGAATGACATTGTTGTTGTGTAGATAGACCATGGAAGCGGCGATGTCTTTGGCGATCATCAGTTTGAGACGCCAGGATATCTTGACCTGCGGATTCTTGATGTACCAGTGCAGATCGCCACCCGACACCAACTCGGTCAGCAGAAAGAATGATCGCTCCTTCTCTGCGATGCCATAATACTGTATGACATTGGGATGTGAGAACATCTTGAGTGTCACAGTCTCGCGTTCGATAAACTTGAGCAACGTGTCTTTGTTTGGATCATTCTCGTAGATGGTTATCTTCTTGATGCCAATCTTTCGACCATTGAGGTAGCCGGCAAACACCTTGCCGAATCCACCTGAGCCAACTTGATTATCAAACTGTATTTCATTATAGTCTATCGTTCTAGATAAACGTTTCCCATTCTTTTGTGTCAATATTGACATTTCTTGGTTTGTTTGTTGTTATTGTTTGTTTGTTGTGATTGATGATGTGATTGAACTACTACTACTACTATGAGACTAAAGTACAACTAATGTGATGATTGAAGACAAGACAATCATCATGTGATTGATTGATTGATTGTTAAGTGTGTGAGTATGTGTGTGTGAATTTAATTGTTATTGTATTGGTTGTGTATGTGTATCTGTATTTGATCGAATGTAAATGTATGTTTGCATCGGTGTGAGTGGGAGGTGTATTGATTGCCTGGACGTCCCAAATAGACTGGTGATGATCAAAATGGGAGGTGAAACGATCACCCCACCCAGATTCAAATTGGTTAATAATAATAACGGTCATTTTCAATTTGAAAACAAGACATGTCTATCCTTTTATTTATTCATTAATAGTGAGATTTCCTAGATATTTAATTAATGATTGTGATTCACAACTCCTCTTTTTACCTACTATCATTATAATCTTCAATAATTTTAATTGGATCAGAATGTTGATGAGTCCATTCTAAGAGGTTTGAAGATAACATTATTACTATTAATATTTGTCGATGTTTAATAAATATTAACTGTGATGTGATGATGAATTTGAGAATAAATATTTTTATATTTATATTTGATAATTTTTATTGTTAACAATCTGTTCGATCTTTAATTGGTCAATGACTTGGTTGCCCAATTGAGATGCGTTTCTCTAGATGGACGCCATACTCATTAGGATGGATGGTCAATCCATTGACTTCTTTGTCATCCAAAAGTTTTCCAGTACTAGATGATAGTTTGAATTGAAGTATCATATTGGCTGAAGCAACATATATTTCATCTAATGCCAAGTTTGACCCTACACAATCTCTTGGTCCACAACTGAATGGTAACCAATGTGATGAATGTTGATTGTCCAAGAACCTCTCTGGTCTGAACTCCTCCGGTCTATCCCAGTACTCCTCATCATGATGTACTCCATAAACATTCATAAACATCACAGTCTAAGTGTGTATAAATGATTGAATCAGTGAGCGGAATGGTTCCATATTGATTTAATGGGTGGGAGACAGGAGATATACATACACCTTTGGTAATTGGATACCCTTCGATCTCAATGTCTTCTGTACAGACACGTGCCAGTCCAAGTGGGGCAACAGGTTTGATACGTAGTACCTCCTTGATTGTTGCGTTTAAATATGGGGTTTTTGGTCGATCACTTATTCTGGCGATTGGGACATGTTGTTGATCTCTATCACTAACATTATCAATCAACTCTTCATATATTCTTTGTTGTACCTCTGGATAATTGACCATATATAACATGAACCAAATCAATGAGTTTCCTGTAGTATCAGTTCCAGCAATAATAAAGTCCATTGCTATTCTAATAATCGATTCCTCACACTTCTCACTATTGGTATCCAATATTATCTGATCAAATAAGTCCCTTGGGCTTGGATGATTGATTGAATGTTTTGAAAGTGTATGTGAGTTGTGTGGGGGGGGGGGGGGGG